ACAACGACCCAGTTTCACTTGGCAAATTAATAACCTTTCACCTGAGTTTTAATTTAAATGCCCGCAACTTATTCGCTGACTAACCATAGCATTTAGTAAGGCCTCCATTCCAAGTCTGGGATCATCTACACTTGGAACTCGGGATCCACCCTGTCGAGTCGACTCCACTCAGCGAACAAGTGGAACCTTCGTCAAGAGTTGAGCTTCGCTTCGCTTCGTTTTTTTTTATTTTATTTTCTTTTCTGTTTTTTTTTTTTTTGGCTGACATTTCAAATTCATTTTGCAAATGTCAAAAATGCCGTTCCGTTGATGCCGCTCATTTGTCTTCCTTCAACAAATGTTGCCACACAGAGCCAAACCAACTGAGTCGCACTTTTTAACACTTTTCACTTAGACGGTTTCGGTTTCGGTTTTGGAGTTTCGGGTTTCCTTTCCTTGGCCAGCGGCCAAATACCCAAATGTGTTTTGCCTGCCAAGACGAGACCAAACGATAAGCCGACGACTTGGAAACGTTTCGAAGTCATCTGCGAGATGAGTCTGTGACTCTTGATGACTGACTTCAAGTGGCCTCCAGCACAGGAGTTGCTCGTGGAGAGCCCAGACATTTTCTTGCCATTCCTAAATAATTTCACAGTCTATCAATTAGCGTGTGGAGCGCGTCAGCAGCTCCAAGGGACTGTGGAATCCGAATCGTAATTACAACTTAAATATGAGCATAATATAACCAAGAGGAATTCAACATTTTTTGTTGGGACTGGAAAGACATAGAAACAACCAACCTCAAACGAAAATTCTTGAATTCTTGCAACTATCAATAGAATAGATAATAAGATACTGCATCTTCTAGTGTCAGCAACACAATCCGATATTATGCGCTTGGAGGATTCGTCCTAGGTGATTTCTTAGTATACAGTGTTCTGTCAAAAAGTATTTTCGCTGAGTATTTTCTACCCCTTCTGTATTTTCATTTATAAGGGATATTACTCAATCAAATTAGCAATATCTCCGGGACAATATTATTAGAAATTTCATAAATAAAATTAGCTTAGAATTTGGTTTTAATTTCTTTGACAAGCTGAATAGTATTTGAAGTACTTGAATGGTTGGATGTCAAGCCAACATCATAAATATTCATAATATATAGAAAGTGAAAAGTGAATGCACAAATTATGTGCCCACTGTGCGAGTTATTAGGCCATTTTTCATACTGATACAGCAGGAGCCACAGTTGTGGCTTACAGCTGAGACCGTAGAAGATCCCGAAGGGACTGTAAGGAGTGTAGAGACTGTGAAGACTGTGAAGACTGAGGACTGAAGACCGTTTCTTCTGCATGACCTTAGGGGCTGGCAGAAGGTGGTCCCGCTGATTGTTTACGTCTGCGCTACTCATAAAATTTCAATTAATCTGCGTGTCACTGTGCAACAGCCGCACCAACAACTAGAGAAATATATTTATTTTTTTGCCGTAGCCTATGCTAAATGGCAGCGTATGCGTTTTTAATGAAATGCGAAGAGGCAACGACATCAGGTTGCTTTGGCTTTGGCTACACAGTATTAATAACAAGCCTTCAGATTTGTCTCTTCACATGAAATATCTGATTAAAATCATTCGTGAAACAGGCGGGCAAGTCGCAAGCTCTCGTCTCGATAGTTGTGCACAAATTAATCTTCTTCACATTAGCATCTTGATTGGCCAATGAAATGTGTAACTCCATACCCCCATGCCCATGACTGTAGGGTATAGTATCATTGGGAGACGCAAACACGCACATACACTAATAAAAAATCAATAGATGATCATTGATCATTTTTTGTAACTCCTCACTCGCTCTCCCTCACTCTCGCTCTCTCTCGCTCTGCTGTTGATGTGATTACAATAATTAATCTTGCTCGAGATTATGTTGATGTTTTTTTTTGTGTTCCTCTCGTGTTTTCCGTTGATTCCCCCAGCAGCAACTGTTGGCGTTGTGAAGATCATTCGTTTGGGTTTTTTGCTGCTGCTGCTGCTGTTTTTATTTTTTACTCTTTTTCCTTAAGGCGCCTGGCGTCAAATTAAGTGTTTGTGTCGCTTGCCATTAATCAAAACATATCACAAATTTCGATATGAAAAAGTGTTTTGTATTATATCAAAACGGAAAACAACATCAACAGTAACAAGAAATCCCCTCAACTAACAACAACTTGTTTCGTTGTCGTTGTGCGTTTCTTATCTGGGTGCGTGCACTGTAAAAAATATTCTACGTATTTCTATATAAATGAAATGAGGAACTATTTTCTGGGCGTGTGGACTGTAAAAAGTACTCTTGGTATTTCTGCACAAAAGAAATTAACCAACGCCAAATTGGGTTTTTAAGGAAATCCATTGATTGAATTGCAGTTAATTTGAAATTATATGTTGTATTTCATTCAAAACCCAACTAAATATTTTTGTAAAGTGTGTTCATTTAATTTGTGTGATTTGTATTTTTTCATTTGATTTGATTTCTTTTCCTGGTCTGAAAATGTCACCTGCTGTGCAAACACCACACACAAGTTGTTCAGGCCATGAATATTGTTGTTGCTGTTGCAGCAGTTGTTGTTATTGTTGTTGTTGCTGATACGCGCTTCCTGCTGCTGCTGCTGGTTGGTTGGTGGTTGTTTGTTGGCCTGGCTTTTTGATGAATGATGGACAACATCAGGTCGGCCACAGCTACAGCCTCAGAGATACAGCATTTCATTTGTGTTGCTGTGTTGCACCTTCGTTGAATTTGAATTTATTTGCAGTTAATATGCAGCTGCGATCAGCAATCTCTCAACTCTATAAATATACACATATTTATATATGCATTCGGTAGCTGTTTTGGAAAGTGGCATTAATCACTTTGGGCTGGCCACACACGCACACTCTCAAAATCAAGCTGAAGAAAATTTATGAACTTCCTAATTGTAAGCAAATTTGACAGGTGTGTTAGCAATAAACTTTTGTTGAAAATTGTGTTTTTTTACAATGCGGCAACCTGTTTTTGTTTATCGTAGTCAAAATATCTTTGCTGCAATAGCAACAACAACAACAACAATGTCATTCAGCAATCAAGTGACAGCAGCAGCAAACTGCAATTATCTATAATAAAATACAACAGCAACAACAACAACTTTGCAACCCGTTTGCGAACACTTTTCAACACTTTGCAAACCAAAATGTGACAACTGCAATTGTTGCTGTGTTGCTGCCAATCTTGTTGTAGTCGTTGTTGTTTTTGCTTTTGGTATAGTTAAAGCCAAATTAAAATTCACTTGCTCAGTTCAACACCTTGGTCAATTTAAACTCTCGACCCACCTGTATGTTGTCTCTCTGTGTGCGTTGAAATAATTGGCTTAGTTGTTGATTACGAGCAATTTTTAATAACTTGGATAGAAAATGCACAAAGTGATGAACAGTTTGACAGCTGTTTTAAGATTCATTGTATTGATAATTATAGATTCAGCTAGAAATATTTCATCTATACGATAATATAATTAATGGAATGCCCTTACTAAAGTGAAATAAAGTATATTAGTGCGATGCACTTTTTTCCAAGGACTAAAAGTTACAAATTACATTTTTAATATAAAATCGTTTTATTTCTCCCATTGCTTAAGCCCAGAAAAATCAAATTTTAATTAGATTCCATTTTTCCAGATGAATTTTGGTTTTTATTTATTAAAAAAAAAATGTGTGAAAAACAATTTCGGACTATTAAATGTCTAATAAATGTTCTATAAGAGAAATAGTTCTATAATTATCTTTAATTTCACAAAGATCACTTAAATTTAAGTAGTATAAAATATTATTTATAAGACGAAAGTTGTATTACGTGGTAATAGATGGCGCTGCACACAGCGCCACCAGACGGCTGTTATTTTAACTAACTTGCAGCAATTCGATTAGCACGGACAACAACCAACTGCAAGCAGCGCAAATATATGTTTGCTTTAGCTTATGGACTGTGAGAAAGAGATAGATGGATTGTGTGGCTGCACTGAGAAAAACTGAAGCAAAATAGTTTTGTTTTAAATATCGGGTAATGTTCAAGTATTTCTCTCCTCAATCTTTTTTTTTATCTACTACTGTTTTAATCATTTTTTATATTATTTTTCTGGTTTAGAGAAGAGTAATATGAAATAAAGTTGAACAATTTTGCATTTAGCTTGTTATTTTTTTCAAATATGACTATTTATTTACACATAAGTACATATAACAAAATTTAGGCGTTTCTTTAGTAAATTTCACATCAAAATATTACACTGAGAATTACAAAAATAAATTGCAAACATTTCACATTTAGTTCAAGGATAAAGAAATACGCCACAGATATGAAAAGCTTATAGTTATAAATTTAATTAGGTGAAGCTAAAGTTAAAAACTTACTAACTACCAAATACAAATATAAATAATGCTAAGCTTATCATCGTATTAATCATCTTCTTTGTCATCCTGGAGTTTTAGCTTACCTATGAAATATTAAAATGCTACAGGGAGTTCATGTCAAAGAGTTAAGGCAAATTTGGATGTCCTTGAAACGAGTCCGAGAAAAGATCTTAAAAAACTTACTTAATTCAAATTATGGAAAACTTGTTTTTGTTGTTGTTATGTTGGTTGGAACGTCATATAAAAAATTCTTTGTTCATTAACTAAATTAGTTATAAATATATATCGAAATCATAAAGCTTATAAATTACCATAAACAATTTCAATATTCTAGCTAAATTAATTTTAGTTTAGGTGAAGCTTAGTTTCGAGTTTCATTTGTTTTATTTATTTTTTTCGAAGAGTGCAGCTTAGAGTTAGAGTTACTTAGAGTTAGGACAGGCAAAAGACAGTCGAGATGGGAGAGTTGAAGAGTTAGATGGTTTTTGGGGAAGGTTAAGAAGAGAAGATTTGGATAGAGTAGAAAGTAGTAGTAGTAGTAGTAGTAGTTTAGTAGTTTAGTAGTTTAGTAGTAGAGCAGAGTGGGATGATCTTTTGAAGCTTAGACCTGCAATCGAAACTCATTTAGTTAAAGCCAATGCGCAAAGCCATCTTAACTTAAAGTTAAAATTAGATTAAGATAAGTCGGGAAAAAACACTTTTCTACTTTTTGGCGACCGCCTTGCTCTGCCCCCTGCCCTTGCCCACCTGTGCCGGTGGCTGTGGCGCGCCACTGCCACCCTCCTGGGAGCCACTCTCCGCATCCGACTCCTTGAGAGAGCCTCCCTCCTCATCTCCAACGAGCGCTCGATATTTTTTCGCAATCGCCTCCCAATCCGCCACATTCTCGATGCGATTCTGATTGGCCGCCGAGAAACTGGCCTGCGAGCCCAGCGGCGATAGATGCACCTGAGACAAGGCCACCGAATCTGAGAGTTTTGTAAAATATGCAATTAGTTATGTTTTGATCAAGGCAAAAGGGGGGAACACTATGCTGCAAAATGACAGCGATAAGGCTGCAACCGAAATTTCGGTATACAGGTTAGGACCAAATAACAAACATAAATATTTTAAAGAATTAAAGAGAATGTTTAATTGAATTAATTGTTAAAATTTGTCTTTAAATTGTTAAATGTAGAATTTGTTTAAGCTTTATTTAGATTTTTCAATAGATGAATTCATAGTTTCAAACTGAATAAAGATAATCTTACTCAAAAATAGGATAATCTCTCAAAAATACTAATAAAAGTTTGAAAATTTTGCTAAAAATATGTAAAAATAAAAAAATACTTATAAATTATTCATGTTATTTGGGACTAAATATTTCGGTTGCAGCTTTACCCCATCTGCGTTGCTGCATAGTGTAAACAGAGTTGGAAGTTGAGAAAGTAATTTTGAGCTAGAGCGCGCCAATTGTAGATAGAGAACTATAAGTTTGTAGAGTGGAAAAAGAGAGTCACATTTGCATAGATAACACAGAGAGAGAGAGAGAGAGAGAGAGAGAGAGATTGCAAGAGGGAGAGAGAGATGACAAGTAGAGAGACGAACGCTTGTTGCTGCAAAACTCTTTGAACTTGTACCAACGTCGGTGTGGTGATTGGGGGATATTCGGGTGAATCGGAAGAACTCTCTGGAACTAGGGAAGGCGATACATACATTGCTCACCTTTCTTGATCTTCGATAGCCATTTGGCGCCAGCTTTGGTGCGTGGACTGGCCTGACGTATTCCCATCATCTGAACCAGACTTGGACGCTTCTTTTTCTTCATGCGTGCCTGTTGTTGTGGTTGTTGTGGTGGTTGCGTGTGTGTGAGTGAAGTCAAGGCGGCATTAGAGTTACACAGGACACATGACAATCAAACAGGACATATACAGAAGACAGGAGACGAAAGACACCAACACATTGATTAAACATCAAAAGCGGCAATAACGAGCAAAAATCAAAACAATAAATTATAGTAAGTAGTGTGATCAAATTGTGCAAAATACATATTTGTATTTATTATATCACAAGCACAGACAGGTTGGTGCATTGTAACAGGGTGCAAACGGGCAACACACTTAAAGCATTTGTTGGGCAGACATTTGTTGACATTTCTAAATCATAAAAGTTGGGCATCAATCATTTCATTTGCTCCCGTTGCAGTTGTTGCCAAATTGCTTTAAATGGTTGGCAGAAAAGGTCAGCAACTACGCGAGTTCTGATCAGATTAAAAAACACACACAGGGTCTGATTGCTGTGTCTGATTGTAGTTTAGTTTTGTTATTGTTTTAGCGTCACGTTGACACAGTTGACATATATAAGATTTTACCTTGACCTTCTCGACGATCCACATAAACCAGGTGGTAACTAAATTAAGCGGCGATGGCGCTGTTGTTGTGCGATGCATATTGCGTATAAGCTTGGATAAGCCAAATTTCCATTCGATGTCGGATTGCGCCTAGTATTTCATAGGTTTTTTGTTTGTTTTGTTATTGGCATTGTGAAAGATGATGATGATGAGTTGTACATGTACATGAATATATATAAAAAATAGAACAAGAACACGTTTTACACAAATGAGTTTCAATGATTTTGTCAAGCATTTCACAAATTTACAATTTGTCTTCTAGATCGTATATATTTAACTTAAGCGCTGCAACTGAATATTTCCATAAGAGAAATACACAAATGTACACGTTAATTTTGCTTAACAATTTCTAACTCGTAGATACTTTTCTAAATGCTCTCTCTTTCTCATGTATCTCAAAGATGGTCGAGAAATTGCTAAACAAAATCGGACGTATTTATTGGTATATTTCGTAGAATAGACTTAAAAAATAAATGGATAGATACACACAAAAACATGCAGCAGTATATTGTTGTTAGTAAAGCATGCAGTTTGCCAACACTGGGCACGCGCGTATTGCTGCTCAACACTGTTCACAAAAGCTACTTTCGCTAGGCACTTACTAGTATTCTAAAGCTAATGACACAGACATAATTTTGATTATTTTTGGCACACACTACAAGTGTCTAATCTATAAGCCGGTGATTTATCTGTAAGATACAATATTTGATTGCAATTGTATCTCAAAGATTGCTCTAATTTTTAATTGGAAAAAACCTGGAAGATGCAAGTCTGGGCAGTTGATGGATGTACAGAATAAGCCATGAATCACTATGCTACAAAAATTGCGCATTCATCTTCCATATTTAAGTTAAATTTTGGTTTGGTCTGTTAGTGATTTCTAAGAACCGACATCAAAGTAGCCGCAAGAAACAAGGCGAGCAACGATACGTTCTGAACCCTTCTGTAATACTATTTGAAGGGATTTTTCTTTTGATACAGCCTATATATGCTTATTAGTTTAGCTTTTCATTTTCCTTATGCTTATCAGCTATTTTAGCCTGTTTCTCCAATGTTTTTTAGCGTTTCTGCTCACGCAGTGCTTCTCGCTTAGAATTTTTCTTTATAAACAGCTTCTTTTTAATTCTCGCATCCCTCACACGAAATATCGCTTCTCGCTTTGCTTCTCGCTGCACTTGAACATCAATCTCAAACTAGAAAAGACCTGACTAATTTTCATAATACTTTTCACATGATCTATAATCAGCTAAACTCGTTACTCTTCTTGTTTGCTGAAATAGACTTGAAGATTAATCAAAAATATATAATTCAATACGTAGCTTAGTTATTATAATAAATATGATAATATAAATATAAGTTATATAGATATATATATATATATGGTTGTAAGAGCATAAATAGTATTTGAGAAATAAAGGAAAAATGGGGATTTATATTGATAAGCGCCATTAGCAAAAATACTACCTGAATTCTTTGATAGGTGTCTGACATCATAGCAATCAGCAGGTTAATGAGTACAACCACCGATACCAACATGTATATGCCAAAGACAATTTTGAATAGATACTCAACCCAATACGGTTGAGTGGGCGTGGCTAAATTTTTGATTTTATCAACTTGCGTTTGCTCCGTCGTCGTCTGACCAAACACGGCGAAGAACAGTAACTCGAATGAGTTAATCGGATGCATGCGCACTGTGTCGTGTCCGTTTTATTTATTTTTTGTGTTTTTTCGGGTCGTATTGTATCGTATCGTGTCGTATCATATCGTTTCCGGTTTCCGATGCCACCAAATCCAAATTCCGATTCCGTATTTACAACACACACACAGATACACAGAGAGTACCGAATACCATTTCATATCAACCCCCACGCAAGTAATTACAATTGACGGACACAGCACGGCGTCGAAAATTTCGATTTGAAAAATAAAAAAATAACGGACGCCCATTTGTGTTGTGACATTGGTGGGTTTGCCCATTAGCCAAATCGCAAAACCATTTGATTTGGCCCAATCGAGCAACCCCCAACAGCAATGTGCGCGCCAATTGCGTTTCAAATTTCAACGGGGTTGTTATCAAAGCGTCACCAAATAAACAAAAAATATATAAAATATATATATATATATATATGTGTATGTATATAATAGATAATAAAATAGTTCAAGTTTTAAATTAGATAAATAGAGAGAGAGAGAGAAAGAGAGAAAGGGAGAGAGAGGGGGAGAGAGAGTGTGTTGCGATTAGTGGACATTTGTCAATACAAACCTGTATGCGCTGATAAGTATCCGACATCATGGCAATTAGTAGGTTAATGAGTACAACCACAGACACTAACAAATAGATGCCAAAGACAAATTTGAACAGGACCTCGGTCCACTCGGGACGCAGATGTCGCATGGGATTGATGTCCACGGTGGTCGTTTGTCCGAAAACGGCGAAGAACAGACGCTCGAAAGCCAGAAATGGTGTCATGGGTCCTAACAACACGTCCAAAGAATTTTCCATTTCTCATTTTCATTTTCTCAAGTAAAACACACAATACGTACACAAACAACAGCACGAGCTAACAGTGAGGCAGAAATTTGGTGAACTTTGCTTTTGCTGATAATGCTGATATTGTTAGATTGTTGGATTGTTGGATTGATATTGTTTGGCACAGGCGTGTGTGCAATAAAAATTCATTCGAATATTTGGTGGCTAGAAAGCAGCAATAACATCAACACATCAGGCATTCAATTTTTCAATAGTTTTCGATTTTGTTTTGTGTTATCGGCCAACACACATACGAGCTTCGATAATTATCGATATTTCGTTCTTTTGTGGATTTTTCTTCATATGATTCGTTTCGCCGTTTTGTGCAGAATTTTTCTAATATTTTCTTGATTGAATTTAAGGTTTGTTTGTTTATTTTATTTTAGTGGTTGGCAAGCAGCGGCACAAGCTTCAAGCCCAGGAAATATATTTTATAAATGAATTTTCTATATTTTCTGATAAATATATATTTAGTGATTTTATTTGGCTGGCGACTTTGCAAAACATCAACATGCAATATTGAATTATTTATTTAAATCTTATTTATTTTGTACACTTTGCGCAAATGTGTAAAATGCATTAAAAATTATATATATGAAAATCATATAGCAGAGAAAAATACTTTCAAATTGAAAAAAAAAATAATAAATCATACACTTAAATCATAAATATAAGCAAAAGATATCCCGACGACCCTTATTATTTTTAGCATACATAAGTTAAACTAAATTGAACCGATATTTAAAGAAATATTTTTACAAAATGTTGATATTTATATCTGTTGGATTACTAAAACACGTATCTTGAATTCAATTTTTTAGTGAATATTTTTGTAATTTTAAGAAAAATGTTATGTTTTGAAAGTCTTTTGTAAGATTTATGAACGTCACTTAAAAAAAAAAAAAGCATAAACGAAGGAATTAACTTTTTGGAGTAAAACTTGTCATATTTTGTTTCTATTTCTCAGAAATATTTTGAATTTTATTTATTTTCTAAAAGAGCGCCTTGTACTAATAGAATATATTCAGACTATATCTCTATCTATCGCATTTACTATCTTTTGTAAAGGTATTTACGATCTACAAACTCTATTTTTTCAATCTTCCCAATAATACTCAAACTCAAACCTTACATAAAGAAATGCATGCTCTTTGAAATAAATGAGAAATAAAGCAAATAATAATTGACAATATAAGTACAATTATAATAATAATAATGTAACAGATGATACCTATAAACATTGATTGATCCACAACATCGAGAATGCACAAAGTATATATATGTATATATAGTACGTGGAACGGAATCCGCTGACGATGACCAATAAAACATGCCTCGAAACGAACGAACGAACGAAAGGAACTTAAAGAACAAGAACAAGGCTAACATTAGATAGTATTACGAATATAGATTGATATACATTTATGTGTGGGATTTGTTGCAGTTGCTTTTTCCATTAGAACTGGAAAATAAGTTATGACAATTAAAACTTGTACACACAACATTGAAGGCAAGAGGAACATCGGCCGGGGCCCAAAAAATATATATAATAATGCTGGGACGCCCGACCTGCAGATAAGTTATGAACGAGCATATATAGTATATATATTTATATATATATAGAAAGAGAGAGCTAGAGCGGGAGAGCCCCAAAACGAAGCAGTTTAACGGAACTTACGATCATCTTTGTGCTTGCGTCGGAATTCGCTGAAGCGACTATCGACATAACTCTCCACGGGCGGAGGTCTTGGGGTGGGCATATCATCTGGGGGTTACGGTACATTGGTATAAATATGCAGAGATATGTAGAAGGGAGAGAGCGTAATTAGTTAGGGTCTGGTGGAATATAGGCGGGGCATTCTTATATATTGCAAAACACATGACGACATCAAAGAGGTTGTTATTTTTTGTTATTTGTTTTTTTTTTTTTTTTTGGGTTGTACAGCATGCAAATTGTTGTTGTATTTTGTGGTTGTAGTTGTATTTCATATAGAGGTGAACATTGAGCACACAGTTTATCATTCAAAGGCAGATACAGATACTTATCAAGACACATTGAACTTTAATAATCGAATAATAGAAAACTAAAAGGATGTTGCGAAAACATTCCAAAAGGACACCAAAATAAAAGGAAATAAAAATCGAACGAAAAAATTAACTAAAAAGTTTTCAAACATAATTAGAGAGTTAAGCAAAAAGCAAACGTTTGGACTTACCGTCACTGAAGTAGCCCCGATTTCGATTCTTCTTCTCGAAACTCCTCAGATCCTCGGGCGTAAAATTGGCAAATGATTGATTTAGTGCCACAATGTGCATGGAAAAGCCAAACACAAAGATGGCGAGGACGGCCAGAAAGCGTGCCAGATCCTTTAAGAGATCACCAATGATAATGGCCCAGGGCCCGAACAAATGATGGAAGGATAAAAAGTCCAATATCTGTACACAGGCGAGAAGGAAAGCCAAGGCGAAGCACTGATTACGGCAATAGACAAGTGTCGGCCAATACTCCTTGGAGACGAAGAGGAAGGCGACGACATGAACTCCAACGCCAGCCATTCCCAGCAGCAGGACGAGCACCTTGATCGATCCCAATCCCGATTTGTCCGAGGGATTCGTCAACTCGAACAAAAGTAGGCCGCTCAACCAAATGAGCAGACCTATTTCGTACCAGTAGGGGACCAGACTCAGACGCAGCACTGGATAGATGGGCGTTATGCCCACAATGCTCAAATGGGTCATGAGGTATATGTGCGAGGTGAGGTAGGACATAAACTTGATGATCGGCACCTTGTTGAACTTGTGCCCCATCGGAAACGTGAAACCAATCCAGACGGGCGGGCAAATAATAAACGCCACCAGCAGCAACATAATCTTCCACGACGCCCACGTCAGTGAGCCGTGCCAGAGTTCCTAAAACAGGAGCATAACAGATTAAACAGTCTTCTAATCTCTCTCTGGCATATTTCACACACTTGCAAATATCGCTGGACCACCGTATGCGCAATGACTTCCTTCTGCTCGTTCTCAATCAGCACGTCGAGAAACTCCACGTTTCGCTTATCCGTCGCCTGCAGGATCTTCCCCGCCGAATCGGAGCCAGCTGCCAGTGCCAACAGCTCTGTGGCCATCGCCTCACATTGCTTGCCAGCGGCAACCAGATCCTTAGCGCGCTCCTTCTCCTGCAAGTAGGAATGGGGCAGGTGTGTGAGAGACAGTATTGAAGATTCTAACCCACAAAAGATGAGCGTATTTTGTACGCACCTTGGTGGAGAGTGTTATATAAATATTGGATAATTTGGCTGCTGTATCCACCGGTGCGGGGGAGACGAGTACAAACTCCTGTATTGGCTTGTTATTGTTATTCTTGGAGACAACCATCAGATTGTAGACGAAGCGTTTGTCCTCCATCAGGCCGTAGGTGTCGTGCTCCTTGTTCATGAGATAGCGCAGCACCTCGTTGTGACCCTCGGAGGCGGCAAACCAGATGGCCGCACAGCCATAGTTCGTCTCGGATTTGGGCGAGGCACCCGCCTCGCACAGCAGCTTGACCACATCCAAGTGACCGGCTTTGGCAGCACAATGCAGTGGCGTCCAACCGTTGCGATCGGTTGCATTTATCTCAGCTCCCTGGCCGAGCAGGATCTCCACCATCTGGAAATGGCCGTGCATGGCAGCGATATGCAGACCAGTCCGACCATTCCGATCCGTGGATTGTAGGAGCTCCGCCGACCGACTCAGAAGCAAACCAACCACTGACATGTGTCCACCGAAGCAAGCCAAATGGAGCGGATTGTAACCCTACAAATTGAGATTAGATTAATGATTGAGTTAAGGAATGAGAAGGATATTTTATAGAGAAAAGGTGAGAGAGAAAAAACTATTTTTGTATACAACCTAATCCCCGAAAGAAGTCACCGAATTTTTAAAAGAAATCTGAGAATCTGAGAATTAAATATTAAACTTAAAAAGGAATAAATATTCAACTAAAAAGGTTGTTCTTTCGAAAGAATTTTGAAAGTTTGAAGTCTTGAAAAGGCACTGAGTTTTCTGTTTAGAGTATGGGTTTCTTATAGATCTATTGATTGCTTACGTTCTCCACGGTAGCTGCATCGACTTGCACACCCGCCGAGTTGAGGAGCAGTCGCACCACATTCTCATTGCCCGAGAAGGCGGCGAGATGCAGTGGTGTCATGCCCGACTCGGTGCCCAGCTCTCCGAATAGACTCTGACCCGTTGGCGTCTCCGACTTCACGGTTGCCGGCACACTAGTCAAGAGCTCTCGCACCGTATCCGCCTGTCCGTAGTAGGCGGCCACATGAAGCGGTGTCAGTCCCAACTTTTTGCTATTGATCCTCAGTGAGTTTGTGCTCTTGAGGACATCCAGGACCTGACCATGCCCGTTCTGGGCAGCCAGATGGACGGCTGTGAAGCCCGCCTTGTTCTCCTCGGTGCAGGAGGCACCGGCACGGACCAATGCCTTAACCACATCCGCATGCCCGCCCTCGGCAGCTAGCTGTAGGGGCGTGGCATCGGTCAACTTATTTCTAGCTGATATCACGCCGGATCGATCGAACTTCATGAGCTCCTCGATGACCTTAACGGAGCCCTGCATGGCCGCAATGTGGGCGCAAGTATTTCCATCCTTGCTCGTCGCATTCACCAGCGACGGATGCTGTTGCAGAAACAATTTGGCCACTTCCGAGTAGTTATTCTGGGCAGCGACATGAATGGGCTTCTGGCCCAGATCATCAGTCGCATCAATATTGGCGCCCAGCTCCAACAGCAGTTGGCACACCTCCATTTGCCCACTGGCCGCTGCCAGATGTAAAGGCGTCTGTTTGCGCAGCGTGAGAATATCAATGACGGCATTGTGATCCTTGATGAGGAACTTCACCAGATGCGTGAACCCATTCATTGCGGCCAAATGCAGTGCAGTGCGTCCCACTCGTGACTTCGAATTGATGAAGGCCTTGTTCGTGAGCAGAGCATCGCACACATGCAGATAGCCCCGTTCCGCAGCCAGATGCAGGGCAGATCGTCCCTCCGTATCGAAGACATCGACCCTGGCATGATTCGCTAAAAGGTTGTTGACCAGCTCCATGTGCCCCCGATTGCAGGCAATCAGCAGCGGTGTCCATCCGATCGACGACTGGCGATTCATTGCCTTCTGTATGTCCGTCGGATTCATGTGCGAGATCATCTCCATCAGCACATCGTTGTTGCCGGCGACGGCACAATAATGGAATGCCGTCTCCAACACATTTTTCGTCTGCAGCGTCACATCTGCCCCATTCTCGAGGAGCATGCGTACGATTTGCTTATCGGATTCGGGTATTTTCACCTCCTCCTTGGTAATTTGGCAAGTATAATGAAGCGCCGTTGCGCCATCATCGTTCACTGAATTTATATACGTTGTGGCCTTCTCCGGTCCGTGTTTCTCCTTCACAGTCTCAATTAGATGACGCACAATCTCCGGATGACACGACCGACACGCCATATGCAATGGTGTTTCACCAGTCTACAAAAACGAGCAAGAAATATAAAAGGGATAAAGAAATCTTTAAAAGCGTTAAACACACGTTTTGGCAACTCACATTTGACTTGTAGAGCGGATCACCTCCATCCTCCAGGAGTTGCATCATTGTCGCCAGATTTCCGTGCCGTGCAGCCACATGAACCGGCGTCAGGCAATCATCCGTTGTTAGATTCGGACTCGCTCCGGACTTCAACAGCATCAGGGCACAACGATCGCCGTCTTTGACGCGTGCCGCAATATGCAGTGGCGTCTCGCGCAGCTTGCCACCTCGCACATGAACATCGGCTCCAAAGCCGAGCAGCGTTTCCACAACGGCCGGTTTCGCTGACTCCACAGCTATGTGGAGTGCCGTATAGTTGTCCTGGTCACGGGGATAAGATAAGATGTATTATTACCATGGAAAAGGATTTAAAACACAAAACGACTTATGCGACAAAGGGTAAAAGAGTTAAGTATAGAGAAAGGAGAAAAATTTATCAAGGAATATAGTTAAAAGATATAGTATTATATATTCAGAAGAAGTAGTATTAAGACTGAAATGTACTAGAAAGAATTGAGCAAGGAAAACTGATAGCTGAATAGTTGTAGGAAAATGATGAGAGATGTTAAACATATGCATAGTAATAAATAGAGAAGATATAATCTTGTATAGAAATTAAGGAAGAAATTGAATATAGGCAGAATCAGCTCAAAATAAGTAGATCAAAGAGAATGAAAAAATAAAGGAATAGTGGAAATTCAGGGAAGTAATTAAATAACCCTGATTTTATACAAATAATCTTAGAAATATGAATAAGAGTCGAAGTAACTAAAAAACATCGATTGAAGAAGAAAAAATCTCAGAAAAAACATTCTCAGATAAATAATAAGACGAAAAATCGAAATAATGAAATAACCTAGATTGCAGAAAAACACAAAATCTCACAAATAATGTTCTGGGATAGGTAGAAAGTCGCAAAATCGAAGTAACTAAAAAAACCTAGATGGAAGAAAAAAACAATCTCAGAAATAACGTTCTTGGATAAGTAAACAGTCGAAGAGAAAAACGTTCATTCAAGATTTGAGGGCCAAGAATATCATCAACATCGATTGTCAACTCACATTGGTGGTAACATCGACTTTCTCGCCCTTCTGCAGCAGGGTGTTGATGATGCCAGTGTGGCCGTATGCGGCAGCAGTGTGTATGCTGCGTGCCCCATCCTTGTTGGGCATGTGGAGGTAGACGCCCTTCTTGAAGAGCATCGTGGCGCACTCAGCATGGCCATTCAGGGATGCAATGTGCATCAAAGTGCTGCCATCCTTGGTGCGCTCGAAGATGCTCGCTTTGAACTTGTCCGCCAGTATCTCGATGACATGCGCATGTCCATTCTCAGCAGCCAAATGCATCGGTGTGCGATCTGACCAGGTTGGGATGAGGGATTAGTAATGATGTGATGAGAGATTAAGCAATTCTCACTCACCCTGATTATCTGCTATGGAGGCAGATGCTCGCACTCCGTAAAAGTACTTGAGTAGCGCTTCGTCTCCTTCGGCGGCGGCAATGTGCAACGGCGTCTGCCCCTCCCCATTCTGGGTGTCCACATTGGTGCCATAGTCGACCAGGATGCGGACCATATCGACGTCCCGCCGTCTGGCGGCCAAATGCAAGGCCGTGTCTCCATTGGCCGTCGTTGCCTGAAAGGGAAATCGACCAATGCTTTTCAATTTGGTTTATTTTCGTATATGCAAATGTTTTGGTTTGTCCACAACAAGGCTAACAGGCTAGCAGCTCGGCTCGCACATTTGGCTGCGTTTTCGCAACGCTTTTGACCCACTTTGGCTGAGCCGGCTGATTGCGTGCCAAGCAGCTAGCTGCTTCGGCTCAAAGTCAACTAACTCGAACTTTAACTTTACCTTTAACTTTAACCCCTTTATTGATTAATTACATCAACACGCACTACTCTTAACCCAAACTCGACGTGCCAATTGAAAACAACACTGAACAACTTTTATGCGCCAATGTCGCGTTGCATTTTTGCACTGTTGCATTCTTGCACTGTTGCACTTTGCCACTCTTTCGTGCCACGTCCTCTCCCTCTTTAGAAGTCGCACTTGTGCGTTGCGTTGCCACATCTTTGGGGCATTTGCATTTTACTGATTTATTTCTGGGTTCTTTTCTTGACAGTTCAAGGCAGTTAGGCAGCGGTCAGCTCAAGATTTCATTTGCATTTATGATTTGTGGCATTCACGGTTCACATTGCGCTTAAGTTAAAGCTTGTCAAGAAACCTGATTGGCAGCTCAGATATCATTTTGATGCAGTGCTCAGTTATGCGAAAGGACAACTTCAAAGTGTGTTCTTGTTAAACGTTATCTAGTTATTTAAATTTATTAATTCTTACAAATATTTTAGAAACCTTCTACTTTGTTTTTACAGTATTCGGAATGCTTTTTAAATAATTTTAAAATATTCTTTGCTTTTATACTCTTATAATCTATAAACCATGTAATAATGACTCTGAGATAGAGTTCTTTTTCCTCGATGAATGTATTTGTTAGCCCAGACAATGCAATTCTGATGTGCTTTACATTTATCTGGTGTTTTATTTTTAAAGCTATATATGTATATTTTTAGAATAATTACCTTTAGTTGGTCCGCCGTTTGTGCAGCTAAGAGTTCTCTGCACATGGACTGATTGCCCGACTCCACAGCCAGCAGCAATGGGATTTTGCCACGCTAGAGAGGGAAAGAGAGCAGAATAGTTTATAGTTGGCAACATACTCATTATGGGTAATAGACAAACTCACACACACACACACAAATAAATAACCAATTAGCCAATTCATGCCTCAAGTGTTAACGGCTGCATGTTTTTGCCTATTTTTAGCCAAGTTCGCAACTTTTCGCGCGAACTTTCAACTGGCAAAGGCGCATGAAAAGAGCTCCCCCCTCCACCCACCCCCCGTTTTGCAAGTCTCCTGCAACGCCAGGGTCTATCAGCTGGCAAGTAAATCAAGTTGTAGAGCAACTTGTGACCCCCTTTTCTTCTTCTTTTTTTTTGTTTTTAGTGGATAGGAATGGCAACCCACGCCAAAGTCTCGTATTATGTGTTTGTTGTTGGCAACGAGTTGAGCGCCCTTTGAAAGAGTGTTCGTAGTGTTCTCTACACAGCATATATATATATATATATATAGACGTATATGTATATGTTGTAGAGTAGAGTATAATGTGCGTGCCTAAGCTGAAAAACTATTCAACTATTTGTCAAGGCTCAAATCGAAACCGAAAACGAGTAATGGGCAATGGGGAACTAAGGAAATGGGCATTGAGGATACCTAAATACTTTATCCAGCTAATTTTGGCTGACAGTGCCATTAAAAGGGGAATGGGCGGAAGGTGGAGTTGGTGGAGGGGTTCCCTTTTTGGGTATAAATATCTAACCTCTAATTGATTTAAATCAAGTTGCCGAAAGAGTCTTTTGTCTAGACAACTATCAATCGACTCCACCGATTGAGGAGTATCTGAAACGGGGGGGGGCTTAGTTGGCTAAGTAAATTTATGCATTCTTTGCCGTCGCGTGCGTTAAGCAAATATTGTTGTGAATTTGCACACCAATGCAATGTGAATGTGAATGCGAATGTGAATTTGAATGCGACAAATAAGTTCCGCATTTCAGCTAGTTTCTTCTCTTTCAGGTTCTTTAGTTGCAAGTTAATCAGATGAGAACGAACAACAACAACAACAACAAGAAGACAACACTGACATTATTCTATTTTTTCGGGTTTTCTTTGGTTTCAGAATGCATTTGCTTTTCTTTTTCTTTTTGCATATTGATTTTTCACAATTTGTTTGGCTTTATGTTGCTGCTGCTGTTGTTGTTCTTGTTGATGATGTTGTTTTTTTTTATGAAACTTTTGTTTACGTTGGCACCGCCTGGTACTACACTACCTTGGCTGGTCTGGTCTGGTCTGGTCTGGAGTGCTTTACTCTTGATGTCTACAGACTGAAAGCAACTCATAACTTGGCCATTTACACAACACTTGTAGCTCTTCCACACACAGTCATACACACTCACACACACACACACTTACGCCGTCTGCTTTGACGCGTATATCCTTGCCAGCAGCAGCGAGCAAGGCTCTCAGGATATTTGTCGCAGTGCCCGTTTGACGACTGGACACCAAATGCACTGCGGTCTGTGAACGTGACTGCAACGAGAGATTAATAAAATACAAAAATACCATTATCTATTAGTTACGAGCGTCATAAACATTGGCAATTAAAGTGCACAAACTGGCACGCACTTTTAATGTTTTTATTTTTTATGTGCAGGTCGAGCCTTTTTTACTCTTTGTGTGTTAACAGCCACGAAATGAAGAAGAAGAATTAAAAACTATATTCACTTCAAAATCACAATTGCAACTGAATGAAAGAGCGCTCAGCTTTTGGGCTTATAAGCACATTTCGTGTCACTTTAGCTAGCTGGGTTTTTTTCACTCATATCACAGATTGACAGCAAACTGTATATAAACTTCCTGCTCTCTCTTTCTCTCTGCTGACACTGACAGCTCCGTTGAGGGAGGGGTGCGGGTGTGCTTTAGGTGTTGGTGTTTGCCACGCACACGAGAGGCAACCACTTCAAACTTGGCTGTTGCTAAAACAAAAGTTAACATCTGCTTTGCATGTGTGTGTGTCTTTACAACTATCAACCATATCTGCCTCGCACACCCACTCGCTCTCCTCATTTTCCTCTCTCACTTTTCCTCAGTCTTCACTTTGATTAACATCAGTAATTTCGGCTTTGAGGCACATGCCACGCCCTCGCAGTTCACTCATTGCGGCATGAAAACTAAATTAAAGTGTTGAACAAAAAAAACTTGCTCACTAAACATATACCCTGTTAACAGTGTATTTATATACAGCGAAGATCCGTTCAGCTTTGAGTTATCCATTAAAATGGCAACCAAATTAAGATCAGCTGAAGAGTAATTTAATCGTGTGCAAAATTCCGATTGCTAGCAAATTAATAATGTATTTCCAGCTCAGATTAATGCGTACAATTTAAAATGATTTAAATTGCATTTGGAAATGTATCTTGCTTTCCTCTAACTTATAAAACACACACACTTCGGCTATATTCCCTATATACACCCTGACATCTGTAGCTCAACTTTGGATGGTGCTTGGTAACCGCAGTTTGTTTACCTTAAAAGCGACTACGGTGCCTGTCCCACTTGGCTGGCTGGCTGGTTTTTAAATTAGAGTGCCTGAGCCCGAGTCTTAACCTTGTCGCCACTAATTGGCCCCTTAGCCCCTAACGTGCCAAAGTCACATGCAACATGCGGCACAAACATCTTTGGCGCTGACCTTTGCACACAAATATGCGTCTAATGGACTTTAAACTGCTCCAAAGCCGATTCGTCACTAACTTACTAAATTATATAAAGTAGCTAAAGTAACGACAATGAGAGCCACAGAAAATATGCATCGATTTTTAAATTACTAGAAAAATGCTTGTGAATAAGTCGGCTCAATTAAACTTGTTGTGCACGAAGTCGATAAGAAACAAGAATGATTTAAATGGGTGATTAAAGTTAACTGATTTGTTGTGTACACGTATTAGTTATATTAATGTACATTATATATATATATATGTTATATTAATCGGAATATTAATGACTCAAGCGTAAGAAATTAAAGACTTAACACGATAGACATTCAAATTTATGCAAATATAATTAATGTGTAACATATGGAAAAAAGCCTGTATTATTGTGGGTGTAATTGGGTACAGAATGTGTATAATATCAGTGTAGACATAGGTCTGAGTTAAGAAATAAAGATATTACACAAATACAGATGAAGATATAAGTATAATTATAGCTTAATATCTAGCAAAAGTTTAAGAAACAGGTGCATATTCATAAAAGTAAATAAAGTCAAATATATGTAGATATATTCATATGTATACATGTGCAATTAGTTATAGCTTTTGGATATACTCACTCCGCCGGTGGAGAAGGTATCAACGCCACGTTTTGTTAGCAACAATTTGACGACATCCTCACGCGAATACATTGCCGCAATATGCAGCACATTGTAATTATCCTGCAACACAAAGTGAAAGGCAGAATGAGAGAGAGTATAAGCATTGGTAAAAGACAGCATTCATGAGTGGGCGAGACTTGAAATCAATTGGCAAAATCATTTAACGGTGTTCGAACTAGCACAGGTCAGCAGGTCTTCTGCTGGGTCAAAGTCAATTTGAAGTCCATTCGAGAACCCCCCATTCCCCTCCCCTCTAACCATATTTGGATTCACGTATTCCCCTCCTCTGCACTTTTGGTCACTTTGCATGGCCAGAAAAGGTGCGCCTGATTACCTTTTTCCTTATTTCATTTACTTTCCCGTTATTGCTGTTATTGATGGTGTTGTTGTTGCCACAATCTTTGCATGTGGACTTTCACTTTTGGCCATTTCTTAATGGTCGTTTGCTTTCTTAGCCACACATGCAACACTTGCATCAAACATTTCGCATGACCCTGCAATGGGTTATTCCTTAAAGACGCAACCCAAATTGTGTGAATTTGACGACAAGCTGCCAGTGAGTCACATGTGCCCCGTATTGGGGACAATCGAAGCACTTCCACTTATCGTCCTCTTATATAATAAGCCATAACGCGCAATATGTTACACATACGCCCCATGGGCCACCGGCGGATTTACTTAATTTATAACTTGACCCGTCGACTTTACTTTTACTTATTCTTTTCTTTTGTTTCGGTGCGCCCTCGAAACGGAAGTGAGTCGGGGCTTTTTATAGGTGCTTTGTTATAAGTACCTATGTAGGGCCGATAAGCCTCTGTCATGGAGTTAGCTATATATATATATATTTGTAGAATTTATTTAAGTCAACGACTATTTTCTAGTTAAAGCTTAACTTTGCTGAAGAAATTTTACATAACTAGAATTATGTACGAGTAAGGCAGAAATTTAAGATGGAAGTAAATAAAAAAAAACACATATTTTAAAGAAAATATTTATAATAATCAATTATCAACAACTAAAAGCAAACATTTAGTTCATATTTTTGTTTCTGAGATTTTGATAATAAAATTTGTTGGTAGGTTATCAGCAATTATTTTTCTGAGTATTTTTCTGTGAATTTTCAGAATATATAGAAAATTCTAGACATCTTTTTTATTAGTAAACGAAACGAACAATTAGAATTATTAGCTAACATATTTACAAATACTATCAAGGGCTTATCTAGATATTTTTCATTAAGACGAGCGCACGTAACTCATGTCAAGGTGTTTGAAAGTATTTCTTATTTTTTCTGTTTTATGTGACGACTATTTCTGGCTGCAACTGTAGCTAATTTGCATAGAGCACAGGGCGCCAAATAAGCGAAAAACTTCAAGTTGAAGTCTTTGACACATGTCCCGCTGAAAGACATGAGGAGAGTGGTGCTGCCCAGTTTCAGACCGGCATTGCGGTCTATACTGTTTGTGTAATGCTTGTAGGCAACTGGCAGCTACAGTGGCCTGCAAAAGTAGACGCTCTTCTCTGGCACGTGAAACGTGAACGGCAGACAGATAATATTTCACGCGCCTGTTTTGCATAGTTTTTAGCTCCAAATAAGTATTGTGTGTGCTTGTTGTGTGTTTATTATTGTTGTGCTGTGGCGGAACGAAAGCAAAAACCGGAAACACAACAAAAAACGGAAGCGCAAATTTTCCAGCACATTTTTGTGCTTGCTTTGGCCAGCGAAGGAGGGAGTGGGTTGGAGAGAGAAGGGTTTGTGTTGCTTGTAAGACGACCCAGTTTTCGCTTGTTTGTTGTGTGTAAACCTCAGCGCCAGAAAGAGAGAGGGAGAGAGTAAGAAAGAGAGAGAGAGAGAGAGAGAGATAAAGGGAGAACGCAACAAAGTAAGTAACTGCTCAAGATGAAGTCATTTCGCACACCCTGGCAAAAAAAAAGAAGCAAGAAAGAAAGACAGAAACCTAAAACAAAAAAGAGACACTTACAAAAACGAAATTATAAAGTGTACTTTTGTTTATTATTTTTTGTTGTCTGATGTCAGCAAATGATGTCGACCAAACAAACACACGCCCACTTTTAAGCACATGGCTATTATATTAATTTAATTAACATTTGACTTAATTCAAGTGCCTCACTCACACACACACCTACACCCACACACAACACACACTTTCGCACATTGTGCGTGCTCTCACGCACAGCTTTTTGACAAATTGAGTCTGGGCCGAGTTAATGGCTTAATGTAAAAATTGCACGCTGTCATCGCGCATGTGGCTTAAATACCAAATGCTAAATACCGGAGTGGCCCAAAAGTCGGCTTTAATTAAAATTGCATACATTAATGACGCCATGCCGGACGGCTTTTTGCCATTGCTTTTGCCCATTTGTCTTACCCCCTCCCAAATAACAAAAAAGGTCAGCTAGTAAAAAGTAAAAAAAATTAAAGGAAGACCGAGGTGTAAATAGCCATTGGGCGTATTTAAAAGTCAGCTGCTTGATTAATTGGCTTTTAAGTTGCAACAAATGAAGTTGGGAACACCTCTTTCTCAACTCAACCTCAACTTGGCAGCAACTTCAATGACATGTGGCATTCCACCTTTAACTCCCCCATTGCCCCACTCCCCAACTTGACAGCCTTAAAATGTTAATTACTTGTACTCATTACATCATTTCATTTGCAAATGCAAATGCCGTGCCAAATGTGAATTACTTAGAGATCTCTCCCATTCAGATAAGCCACAAAATGATATAATGCGAGACAAAAATTTATCACACGTGATATTTTAGATTCCTCCTCGTTTTATTTTTTTAATTCATTAAGCTGAAATACAGCTCTAATTGCATGTAATACAATGAAAGTAATTATATTCTGTTTATTTCAGCTATAAAACATCTTGACGGACTGTCAACTTTTATGAACTCATCAAGTCATTTCAAATAAAACATGACGCATCTTTAATAGAAAAGTGAAATGGTGGGCATAAAAGTGTAATTATTACAACTACTTAATATTTTCCTAGTCATGAAATATTCATATAGTATAATTTAAGACAACATCTGTTCCCAAATTACTCAAAACAGAAAGAATATGCTATTTATAAGACTTTCGTTTTCTAAGACTAGCACATAAATATATATTTTAAATTAAATTGTGCCAATATTTTTTGGCAAACAAAAATCTGAAAACAGTCGAAATTCTAAAATTATACAATATTTTAAAATCAGAAATAAATCTGAAAAATGAGTCAACAAATATAAAAAAAACCGGCTTGCCCTTTTTGGCACTGAATAGTTTTTGAATATAGTAGAATTCATATCGTCAACAAAATTAATTCACAGAGTAATGGAATTAAAAGATTAGATGAAAATTCGGAAAACTTCAGTTTGAGTAGTGACGTGTAACAAGTATGCAAATATTATGCATTTAAAAAAAGAAAACTATTAAAAATGCATTATAAATATTCATTTCGTACACGCATTCAAATCCATTTTATACAATGCTTCAAATTAACCTTTAACATTTCAACAACAAGCTGGGAAATTTTCTTCAATGTGGTTTTTTATGTGAGTCTGCAATGGGCAAAAAAAACACACAAACAATTTCTATGTTTGTTTTGGTAATTTAATTCGCTGACTTTGCTTATTTTTGGTTTGGCAACAATTATTTATAATTAGGTCAAGGATTTGTATCGCCTCAAGAGCTCAGAACATGTGCGCGTTGGCCGCAAATGAAATGTGGCCCAATGTGTGTGGTAAGTAATTGTGGCATGCAAACATAATGCGAAATGCCCAATTGCCAATTGAGTATAGACCTCAACTTTCAGACTAAAATTGCTCACTTCATTATTAGTGACCGAATAGGTTTTTGGGTTTTGTGATTGCTAAATGATGGCATAGTGAAGCCCCCATTAATTCTTAAAGCTTGAGGATTATTAAAGATTTGGTTTATCAGTTTTTATCTAGTTTAGATTCAACTCTATTAAATAAGATAAATTGAAGATAAAAGCCTTTGTTAAATAATTTTGTTGCCAATTTCCATCTAGTTTAGATTCAAGTCTATTAAATAAATATGCCATCAAACACACATTATCATATCCTGATATCACACTGCTGCTTCTTCAATCCCTCGAAAATTGTTTGCTAAAAATAACTTAGCAATTTTCCAACAATTTGACTATGTTCGTGGCGCCCCAAGGTATGCAGCAGGCAGCGTAGAGAATAAGAAATCACAGAATATGATATCAGGGGGGAAATTCCTGAGCGGCTTTGCGTGTCGCCCAAAATCGTAACAATTGTAAGAACCTGGCCAAAAACGGTTGGCCAAGCTTTGTTCAGTTGACCCACAGCGGCCGTTAAGTGGCAGTTGAGAGCCGGAGTGTCCGGAGAGTCCGGAGAGTTGAAAGTCGGAGAGTCCGAGAGTCCTGCCGGCTATTGGCTTTCCCAATGGAAATGCGTGTGTGCGGCAAATGCGTGGACCGCAAACATACTCTCTCCCCTTCCCCGCTGTCCGCAATCCCCTCGTGCAATGACGCCCCCGCTTGAGATTTAATTATGCGGTTTTTATCGATTTGACACACTTCCAGCGACTTGTTTTGCTTACGTTTCTTTGCCGACTTTCTCAGCTCAGCTGGTTCCCTTAATTTGTACTCATAACTGGGTAATTTAAGATGTTACAATGTTACCAGCTTAAACACTCGATACTCACATTATTCCGTGCTCCGACATCGGCACCCAGTTCAATCATGCGATCCATTATCGCCGTCCGATTATCCTTTGTTGCATACATCAGCGGCGTCATGCCGGTGTTCTGAAACCACAGCGGATAATCATCAGTTAGTTATTTTAGAATGCATAAGAATTAACTAGGTGCATATTGAAATTGAAATTATAAAGAGGTATGAAATGCATACATGTTTATTGTGATTCTTGGAAATGCAACAAGACCACAAATATATTCAAAAAATGTAAAATTTCCTTAATCCTCTTCACTATTCATTTCTTTGATTTCGATACAATTTACAACATTTAATATGCTTTTCGCATTATTTCGTTAATTACAATAGTTCCCTTTAAGAAATGTAAGGGAAATTCTTAAGATATCAGTATTGTTGTCAACGAAACTCGGGTTTCTCCACATGATTCAAATATGATTCATTCGGAATAAATACAATCCGTATTTTCCCTTGTTTGCTGAACATTTAAACTTTTTGACTCATTGTTTCTCCTCGTCATCATCATCATTATTGTTTATGAAAGTAAATAGTAAATTGTTCGTTTTGTGTATTTGTTTCTCGCCTTCTAATTTTGATAAGCCTACATTTTCACCTCATTTATTTTGCGTAATTTTCATAATTAAAACTAAATCAAGTCCAAAACCATAAGCATTTCCACGCCCTGTCTGGCAGCCAAATAAGTTCACCAAAATAGTCGCAAAAAATGTAGCTTTTTTGTTATTGCAGGCATATTGTGTGAATTGAATATACCCTATATTTATATATTGATAATGCAATGGAGAACATCTTGTTTCTTAAATGGAAATGTAAATATTTGCATTAACTTCTTAATCTCTTCATATGTTTTAGCCAATTTAAAATTGATTTTGTACATTTTGTTCTGATTCCGTCCAGGCGTAGAAGCCATGTTGAACTTTCATAGAAACTACAGTATTTTTAGGGGCTTTGCACGCTTTCTTAACAAGCTAAGGGAGAAGTGTAGGCCATCCCCTGTCTACTGCCATAGCTGCAGGGTATCATTGACTGTTGTTTTCAAGAGAGTTTCTATGTTAATGATGCCTTTCGCACAGCTAAATAATTTGCATGGGGCGCAACCCTTTCCTTCTACCCGAGTGCTTCTTTAGTTTTAGTTTTGTCTACACTCCGATCGAGTATTTCCGTTCCACCTACTTTTTTTTTGTAGCCTGCTTGCATTTTATTGTCAGTTGCCGTTTTTCTATGCTTTTTTTTTGGGATAGTTGGAGGGGCGAGTCCTTTTTTTGTGGGATTCTTGCAACGTTAATTTTATGTCAACGACTTTTGCGTTTGATATTTTTATGGTAAATTGAAATCGAAGCGCTTCAATTTCGATGCTTTATGAGTTTATTCCTTTGGGGGTAGTCGCAACTTGTGGCAGGACGATTCATTGCCTTGGCAGCCAAACATTTGGGACGCGCTATCAAATAACACACACACACACACACAACAACAACACACATACACACATACACACACTCACATTTATGCACTACAGTGTCGTTATTTTGGCTGGTAAACAACCAAATAACAACAACAACTAAAATGCCGCCATTGTCGACGTTGATAAGGGCGACGTCGACTTATATTTTGCGCCGCTTTCGATGGGCTCCAAAATTGATTTTACAAAGTCGGCGGTACTCGCATTTGGCACCATTACACTGAGCAAACAAAGCACTTGCTTCAATTCCTAGTTTGCCATACAAACTCTGCTTTGTTTTATTAATTTGTTTTGCTTAGACTGAAAATCTCAGTTGAACCTCTCTTTCAGAACAAATCTTTGAATTCAAGTACAACCTGAATTTAATTCCTGATGTTTTGTCTTTTTACATGTTGATTGAGTTTATTAACAATTATTATATTCTTATTATTATTTTTTTAATTTCGAATTTCATTACCAATTTTTAATTGTATTGTTAAATTTTAATTTCATATTTAATTTGAAATTTTAATCGTGTTTATCTTGAAACTGTTTTTGTTTTCTCAGTGTATTAGTAAATACACACATCCACTCTACCCCTCTCTCTCTCTCCCTCTCTCTCTCTGTCTCTGTCTGCTTACCATATCGTGAACTCCGGCTAGCGGAATATGATTACCATCCTCGCCGACATTGGCCACATACTTCTCCAGTTTCTTCAGTTCGGCCTCGATGGGCGTCCATTCACTCTTCATGGCCAGGGCGAGCACCTTGTTGGCCGTGTCGCGTATGGAGGCGCCTGCACTTGGTGGCTTGGGTGCTGGGAATCCGTCAGCATCCTTCTTGTCGCCATTGCTGGAGCTGTCGTCCTTGGGATCGGAGTCGGCTTTGCTCGCGGGCGTTGCACGTTCACTTGTCGTCGCGGAATCATCTGGCGGCCCTGTCAATGAGGACGGCGTCTTGCGGCCAACACCAGCACCGCCAGCGCCACGCCCACCGCCGCGGCCGCCCCTCGGCTGCGACATGTTCCGGCCAAAATGGGCTGGCTGCCTAACAACAACGAGCCGCTCTTAGTTCCGGCCGCCTCGACTGGCCAAATTGGCCATTATACAACGGTTAACGGTTAACAACAAAACAAAAAAATGCACTTTAATTTATTGTTTAAATTTGAATAGTTGCAAGCCTTGTGTTTTTCTTATTGATTCGCGGCTGCATAGTTTCTGGCTTGCATTCGCGTTGCACTACAATTTGTTGGCTTCCGCATTTTACCAATATTTGTTACCAACAATTTGCATTTTCATTGGCAACACACTCGCAGCGAAACAACAAACGTTTGTTGGTTGCTTTAATTTTACTCGGCCCCACTTTTCGTATAACAACATCAACAACAACACCAGCAACACCAGCAACACCAACAACAACCACACAAACACATCCGTTTGCTATTATTATTCCTTGAATTTGTTTTTTTTTTCGTTGTTTTTTGTTTTTCGCTTTCTTCACTTTTACTACACAATTTTATATGTTTCAGCCTGTTTTTCTTTATTTTTTATAGCTCGCTTTCGGGTTGCGTGTGCGTCTCACTTTAGAGCCGCCGCTTTTCTAGCTGCTTTTTTTCGGACCAGGATTTTGGCTACTCTTGTTGGCCGAGTTAAAGGAGCCAAAGAACCGTTTGCCACGAGCTTCTGCGAGTTTCTGATTTGCCAGTCGCATTCATTTTTGGCATTTACCTTTCGACTGCGAGGCCAACGAGAAGTCGAGCACCTTGGCAACATGACGAAACTCCTGTTACCAATCCCACTCTCTCTCTCTCTCTCTCTGTCTCTCTACCTCTCTCGCTCTCTTTGAGGCGCACGCGTTTGTTTACAATTGTTGATTCCAAACAAACTCGAGAGATTGCCTCCAAACAGTTGTTTTTTGGCGCGCAAATTTACAATCGAGAGAGAGCTCTCAGTATTCGTTAAATTTCGCAGTCTGGAGTTGGGTCCCTAAGCTACAAGGCGAGGGAGGATCCTAACTTGGGCAAGTAAAGCTTAGACTAGAGCACAAAAAGTACATTAAAAGGATGAGTCGATTGTTAATTTATTATATGAAAAAGACTTTCATGTTTACTTCAAATAATCCAATTCCAATTTCTGCATGTTTTAGATTTTGTTCAAATCACAATAAATTGGTCTTAGCCATAATCTGTCAAATATTAGCCATATTGTCATAAATGTTAGTCAGTTAATTTTTGACATGTATTTCAGTAATATGTTTTTAGCATTTGAAACATTTGAAACGTTCGTAATCAAAATTTGTTAAAGTTAAGAAATCAAGCACAATGAAATCAACATATAGCGTAGAGAGCCTGACCCAGAATACAACTCCAAAGACACGCAAATCGGCTAAAAATACGTTGAAAAAGAGATCGAGTCCAGCACATTCCTCCGCGCTATTCGACGAGGAAAATGATTTTGAGGGGCCAACGAGATGTCGCTGCCAGCGATGTGAAATTCTCCATCCAACGGACAGGATACGCATCGAGGGGGAAAGGGTATTTGAAAATGTGATTAAAGTGCAGGATGCTGTCGATCAGAATGTGGAGGGATTGCTCAATGATCTGCAAGAGCTAATCAGCTTCAAGTCGATCTCTGTGCAGCCAGAGATGCTGGCGGAGAGCATGAAGGCGCTCGATTGGCTAGCGGATCGCTTGGATAATTTAAAGTTTCAAACCATGGATCATTATGTGCCCGACGATCCCGAAAATTGTTTTGAGGAGCCGCATCGCAAGGTGCTCTTCTCCCGCTACTTCTCGTCACCCACAAAAAACACAGTGCTGATCTATGGGCATCTGGATGTGGTGCCAGCTAAGCCAGACTGCTGGCTCCATGACCCCTTCACTATGCATCTGGAGCAGGGTGTCATCTATGGCAGGGGTGTGACCAGCGGCAAGGGAATGCTAGTCGGCTGGCTGCAGGCCATCGAATGTTGGCTGAAAGTGCACGGGGATCTGCCCATTAATGTGAAGATCATTGTCGATATGTTGCACGAGGTGGGCAACAGCGGATTGCATATCTATGTGAAAGAGAGAAAAGACTTCTTTCTCGACGTGGACTTTATGGTCTTCGATGCGAACTCGTGGCTGAACAACAATAATCCCATCATCGCTTGCAGTCTCTCCGGCTGGGCTCATTTTGGCATTGAGGTCCGTGGCGGCAATAAGACCTTGGAGAGTGGCCTCGCTGGTGGTTTAGTCTTTGAGCCGATGATCGATCTGTGTCATCTGATGAATAGTCTCGTCAACGATGACCATGACATTCTCATTCCAAACGTTGAGCTGCACGTGAAGGCACTGGCTACTCACGAATGGCAGCTGCTCGAGAAGGCGGACTTCCAGACCTATGCCTACAAGGAGCAGCTCTATATACGACGCCTGAGGAACGAGGGAAACAAGGTGGAAATGCTGCAGAATCGCTGGTGTAAGCCAACCCTGACCATGCACGGCGTTGAGGGAGCAGACAGTCATCCCGGCTGCAGGCGAATGCTGCCCATGCGCGTGGTGGGCAAGTTCTCAATTAAGCTGGTGCCCGATCAGGATGTGAAACAGATTCAATCCGATGTCAACGATTATTTGGAACGATGTAGCAGCGAACTTGATATAGGCACCAAGATGACCGTTCATCTGCTTGACGGTTGTGAACCGAGTTCCTGGTCGAGCGACTCCACATTGACGAAGGCCGTCATAAATGCTGTGTTCGATGTCTTTCAAAAAATGCCGATTGTCACCGAAGGAATACCCATTTGTTTGCCCGTTGCGAGCGTGTTGGGGAATCTGATAGATAAGCCCATCATGTTGGTGCCTTATTGGCGTCGTCGGGATCACCATCACCAGGAGAACGAGTACATTGAGGAGCGATGCGTCATGCAACATGCCAAAGTCTGTGCCAATCTCTTCTACGAACTGAGTGTGATTTCCAGCAAGTGCAAGTGCCATCTGCTCACGGACTATTGCAATCGGCGTGGAATTATGGAGAAACTGGATGAAGAGCGTGGCTACTTCAATAATGAGTCACCGGCATCCCGGCGTAACCAATTGATGAACGTCTTCAGGAAACACGATAATGTCTCCCATTTGACGCACAAAAGGCGCCCGTTCAATGCACGTTTCAAGAACTTTCTTTGCATACCATTTGCCTGGAAGAGGATCAGGAAACACCAAAAGCATTAAGGAATCTAGCGTTTAGTGTGGTTGTTGTTCAAATTCAGAAGATTGAAGACTCAGTTTTGTTTTTCCGTTTTCCGTTTGCTTGGATCTGTGCTAGTAAGTAATGAAAATCCGACAATTTGTTTTAGTTATCAGCTTTTATTTATATAAATTCTAAATTACAAAAAAGTTCAATTCAAAATTCAAATAATTTTTTAGGAAAAATGATTTGCTGGGGTGAACGGAACTGTTGCGGCATATTCTTAGACGGATCCAAGGATGATCGCTGTGACTGTTTACGTGACTACTGCGTTAGGGACTATGATCCCAAAGATAGGATAATTGTGGCAGAGGAAGATTTGGAATTTGTAAATGCGCATCTGAAAACGAAAAGCGAAGCGCATTTGACAGAGCTGAACGAAATGATATCATTAAAGAGCATACCCGACTGCCCCGAGTTTGACAAGCAGACTCGACAGCTGATCAATCGATTGGCGCAACGACTCAACGAACTGGAGTTCGATGTGGAGGTGGTCGAGGTGAAGCCCAAGGGCACTGATCCCACGCACTATGTGATCTTTGCCAGCTACTTCTCCACACCCGCCAAGAATGTGATGCTCGTCTACGGGCATGTGGACGTAAAGAACGTGGATAAGGACGACAACAGTTGGACCCAATTCCCTTTCAAGCTAACCAATCAGAATGGAATGCTATACGGCCGTGGTTTGACCAGCTCAAAGGGCCCGCTGTATTGCTGGCTACATGCAGCCGAGTCATGGCTGGAGGGGACAGACGATCTGCCGGTGAATTTGAGATTTCTCATCGATACCTTCAGCAATGCGAACAATCAGGCACTCAGGGAACTCATCGATCAACGCCAGAATTTCTTCAAGCCCGTCGATCTATTGATTTGCTCCACCAATCTGTGGATATCGCCAAAGACACCCATGTTGTCCATCTGCCACAGCGGCTACGTCTTCTTTGAGCTGCGGGTGCGACACAAAAAGCAATCCAAACAAGAAACCGAATCCGACGAGTGTCCCACCCGCGGTCGCCAGCCCATGGAGGAGCTGTGTTTCCTAATGAACACCCTAACGGATAAGCACGGTGAACTGGCTAAGAAACTGGAGCGTCATGCGTTGCCCGTAACCCAAAACGATTGGAACATCCTGAGCAAAGCCGAGATGGGCATCATGGAGTTCAAGGAAAGTTACAATATCAAAGAGCTGCTGCATGAGGAGTCCAAGGCGCTGTTCCTTAAGCATCGCTGGTGCATGCCCTGCTTGACGGTGCACACCGTCGAGCATCGTCAATATTCCAGTGTGCGAGATCTGTACGAGCCCCGACACATTTTGGCCAAGTTCTCCGTTAAGCTGGTGCCCGATCAGAGTATCGATTACGTTAAGTTTGTGGTCAGGGAGCATCTGGACTGTGCCTACTGCCGCCACAAGTGCATACATCCCGCCTATCTGCGCATCACCGACTCCGTAAAGCCACTGAACGAGGGACGCAATGCACCCTTCAGTCTGGCCGCCCAGCGGGCGTACGAGCAGGTGTACAATGTCCATGTAGCACTACCGGACACGATCACCCTCTGCCTGCCGATGATGAATGTGCTGCGAAAGCATTGTCTGTCCACGGCTCAGGTCATCGGATTGCCCTTCTGCTCGGTGCATATGCATCCCGGCCAGTCGGACGAGTGCATACCGCTCGAGGAGTACGAGAGAAACAAGAAGCTCTGCGCTACTTTGATGTACGAGTTGGCTCTGGTGCCGCCCGAGTGCAAATGCACCGAGGTCAAGGACTTCTGCTACGAGCCGGGCAAATCAACGGATCGCGACTTTGTCCACACCCAGGAGCCACGCAATGCGAATATCTCCCACATCCTCTACGAACTGAACGAGGCACAGGTCGATAAGGCGCACTCGATCACCTATCTGCTGCCCAATGTGGAACAAATACTCTTGGGCAACTCTAAAAACGAGCAGAAGCAAGAGAGTCTCAGCTGATTGCCAGTGTTTCCCTATTCCTCAAAGTCAGTGTTTAGTTATCCCTCTATTCCTATTCATATTCAAGGCCAAATCAAGTGTTGACCTATTCCTTTATTCTTATTGCTATTCAAAGCCAAATCCAGTGTTGCCCTATTCCTTTATTCTAATTCAAATTCAAGGCCAAGTCCAGTGCCGCCAATCTGGTTACGTAAATGGAATTATTAGTATACAAAGTGCTTCTTTATGTATTGATTAAGGCAAAAAACCCACGCGCCACAAACCTAATAAAATGTGTATAATCAAGTTTTAAATAATGCCAGTCTGGAGAAGCTAAGAAAACGAACTACGAAACTACTTTGCGAAACAGCGATTAAACTGTGCAAATGTTCTGGAAAGTAAATAACAAAATTGACAGACAGCGAGCAGACAACGAACCGCCAAATATAGAAATTTGATTATATATTCGATTATCGAAATTATCAGCTGAGTTCTGCTGTATGTTTTTATTATAGCTTCAAGTTTACAATGCAAACACATGTTTTTTCTATGCTTGCTGATAATACTCAACAAAAGCTTTTATTATCACCCAACCGGTAATGTGAGATATGTCAAATAAGCCGCCGGCAAATTGATTTACGTCTCGTATATGTGTGTGTGTGTGTGTGTGTGTAGTGTGTGGATAGCTACTTTGCTTGATAAACAGTAATACCACTAAGCAGACAATAAAATATATTGTATGCATGTATTACACATATTAAAATTTCACCTCTCTCTCTCTTCCAATTGAGAGACTCGCAAAGCATAGCAACGAAAACATAACGAAAGGCAAGCAACAAATACAAAACAAAACAAAAAAGTTCAATTGCCGGACGAATTCGCGACACGTGTCGTCTGCAGAATGTTCAAAACAAAATAGAAACGATGATAATGGACACAACAAAAAGCGATGATCGACGAGCAAATACGAATGAAAAAACGTATGTTGTAAATATCAATGAGCGTTGTAAATACCCTGTACACCATATGCATGCATGGATTGATACAATAACACATATCCAAAAAATAAGATCCTCAAGTCTCTCTCTCTCTCTCTCACCAACGTTAAAATATATCATTTTTATTTTTATTTTAGCTATGGTTGCATAGTTTGCTCATGTATGGCTGCGCCTGTTGCTATCCCAATAAGTACAGGGTGTTGACACCGTAAGGCTTGTTTTTCGTCTTACCGCTACATTCTGCTGTCTGCTTACTCAGCATCTGTCTCTTTTTCTCTCTCTTGCTTTCGTTTGTATTCGTTCAGTGTGTAGGCTGTAGGCTGATTCCAGTATGTGTTTGTATGCAGTGTCGACCGGTTGCGTCTTTTGGAAACGTTCGTGATTAAATTTTGTTCAAGCCATAAGCGCTGCGCATATCATTAAACATTTTAAACTAGATAAGTAATGAAAAGTGAACAATAATAACGTAATTATTCTTTTTAGTATATTTCTATCAATTTCGAGTTTAAGTAAAATATAAAATGTTAAACAAGAAGCTGCAAATCGTGTCCAGGCATGTCATCAAGCAGAGATTGGGCCACAAGGCGTGGCGCTGGTAAGTTCTCAGTAAGGACACAAACCCCCAAGGTCAAGATCTCAGGACAGCAACTAGTGGGAAATACTTCAAGGAATATACCAATTTTGCATATGCTGCCAGATGGAAAGTGTTGCCGTTAAAGGGTTGTTTTTTTCACTCTCCACATCAGCTTAGCTCCCCCTCTCACAGATTACGTAATAACACTTATCACTCCACAGTCTTTGGTAATATTCAAATTTAGCAGACTATTCCATTTTAGCAGGTCAAGATGTTAATTATCAAAACTGAGTTGAATTGAATTCAATAAAATTTTTGGAGCTTCACAGATTCTATTTTTAAACACCTGTTGCAAGCAAACTTTTCCATGATGCCTATTTTTAGCTGATACTAAGCCACTTGATAAGAAAAAACCAATTAGTCTTTATTAAATAGGTGTATATTTCAAATATATGCCCATAGATTTGCACTCTTGCGATAAGCAACTACGTAACATAAAACATTCATGTTTACAATAAGTGCGAATCGGTAAAAAAAAAGAAAGAAAAACAACATGTAAAAAACAAAAATCATACCAGACCAGTGAACTTAAACAGAGCGCTATAAAAAGAGAACATGCCATAAACTAAGCACAAGCTTTTGAAGCATTTTTGTAAAGCTTAAGCTAAGGTATGCACCAAAATAGTCGAGGCACACACCACTCGTGGGCAGACTAATCTAATTTTTCGCAGTTATTTTTTTGAAAATAGATGGATAGATAAATTGAACTTTGAACCGTCCTCAAGTGGCTTTTTGGGATAGAAAGTGTACATGAGTTCCAACTAAAAAATAGATTTCTTTAAGAGCAGTATTAATCTTTTAATTAATGTAATATAGTTTTTTTTTATTATGTAAGTAAAATTTGATATCCATTTGTCACTCTTGCAGCCAGTCAACAATACCCGCCGCCAGTCAGAGTTACATGCATCACATTGGCAAGGAGCCGTTGGCTTACCGGAATGTAGGACAGCAGCTGGAATTGGCTGCCTCTCAGTTTGGCAGCACCGAGGCGATAGTTTCGTGTCACGAGGCGAAACGATACACGTTCCGCAGCCTGCTGGCCGAGGTGGATCGCGTGGCGGCAGGTTTGCTCAAGCTGGGACTGCAAAGGGGCGATGCCGTCGGCATCTGGGCGCCCAACTACATTCAATGGTATCTGAGCATGATGGGCGCGGCACGAGCTGGCCTCACATCCGTCGGGATTAATCCCGCGTTCCAAGGACCCGAAATGGAGTACTGCCTGAAGAAGGTGGACATCAAGGCGATACTTGCAACGGAGTCGTTCAAGACACAAAACTACTACGAGATTGTACGCGACATTTGCCCCGAAATGGCCGACTCGGAAGCTGGCAAAATCAGAAGCGATAAGTTTCCCCATCTGCGTGCCGTCATCATCGACAGCAAGCAGAGTCTGAAGGGTGCCTTGCGCTTTGACGAGCTGCTCGACTTGAGCAATGCCAGTGAGCAGGAGGAGATCACCAAATTGCAGCGCGAAATCCAACCGGAGAGTCCGTGCAATGTGCAGTTCACGTCGGGCACGACAGGCAATCCCAAGGCAGCCGTGCTCTCCCATTACAATTTCGTCAACAATGGCATCCATGTGGGCAGCAGAAATGAGCTGGATGGCGAGCGGATTTGTGTCCAGGTGCCGTTGTTTCATGCCTTTGGCGTTGGCATTACCATCATGGCAGCCATGTCTAAGGGAGCAACACTGGTTCTGCCATCAGCTGGGTTCAGTCCGAAGGATTCGCTGCAGGCGATTGTCGAAGAGAAATGCACTGTGATCCATGGCACACCCACAATGTATGTGGATCTGGTTGTTGCCCAGCGTAAGGAACAGTTGCCGCTGGGAAAGATCAAGAAGGCGATCACAGGCGGGGCGCCAGTCTCGCCTCAGCTCATCCTGGACGTCAAACAGGTCCTGGGCGTTGAGGCGATGCACAGCGTCTATGGACTGACCGAGTCAACGGCTGTGATCTTCCAATCGTTGCCTGGGGAGGAAGACGATCGGGTGCTCCATTCTGTGGGTCATCTGACCGATCACATCGAGGCGAAGATCATCGATGAAAAGGGCTGCGTGGTGCCTTTGGGACAGCCAGGTGAGCTCTGTGTACGTGGCTATCTGACCATGTTGGGCTATCACGGCGACGAGGAGAAGACCAGAGAGATAATCAGTGCCGACAACTGGATGCGCACGGGTGATCAGTTCGTTATGGAAGCGGATGGCTATGGTCGCATCGTTGGTCGCCTCAAGGAGATGGTCATACGAGGCGGCGAGAATATATTCCCCAAAGAGGTCGAAGACTTTATCAACACGCATCCTCAGGTGGTTGAGACGCATGTACGTTATTCCCCCCTAATCCCTCAACAGCTGCTCATTATGTTTAACCATTTCAGGTCATTGGTGTGCCCGACGAGCGTCTGGGCGAGGAGCTATGCGCCTTTGTGCGCCTCCACCACGATGTTGATCCCAAGACGTTTACCAAGGAATCGCTGCGTGAATACGCCAAGGGCAAGATCGCCCACTTTAAGGTGCCGCGGTATGTGGTGCCCGTCGATGCATTCCCCAAGACCACCTCCGGCAAGATACAGAAATTCAAGCTTCTCAAGAAGTTCGAGGACAGCTTCCACACGCAGAAGAGCAAGTCGCAATCGCAAGCAGTCCGAGCTTAAGCATTACTTCTCGTCCTGGTTTCCTGTTGTCCTGTTGTACAGATGTCAAATTACTCCAAAATAGAGTCATAAACTAATTTTGTAACTAAATCACGAAAATATATGTAAGTTTATGTTGTAAATTGATAGAGTTGGTCCTTGCAATACTAGAACACAATGTCCTTTGAAAATCTGTACGGATTTGGCCAAGTTATTTATTTTTCTATTTTCTAAAAAGCAGCATTGGTTTTTAGCCATAATGCGGCCATCTCAGAAGGTCATTGAGAAGGATTCAATGATTTTTCGGATACCTTTTGGACCACAGAAAACAAGGATTTTGTGTTGTCAACCCATTTCCGCAATTTGTTTGGACTCCTAGATTAGCCCATAATCCTTGAATGCAGTTCGATGAAGTTGGTCCTCGTGATTCTAACGCGCCATGTCCTTTGAAAATCTGTTAGGATTTGGCCGAGATTTGTCAACAAAAATATTTCTTGCCTTTTGTCTAATCCTAAAAGTGTGCTTTAAAAATGTTAATTGAAAAAATCATTTTTATTCGTTTTTGAAACAATTACTATTTTATTTTAGGTTTTGAAATTATTTAGCAAAAAATATTTTAGGTTTTTTTTTTGTATTTTTTTCCATCAGTTTGCTTGCTTTCTTTCATTCCTTCTTTGCTGTTTTTCTTATAGGTATAGAGAAAATTTCTGATCAGTTGCTGTTGTTGTTGTTTGTTGTTGTTGCTGCTGCTTCGGCTGGCTGGGCTCATGCATATAAAATAACATATAGTATCTTCTGATAGTAGACTTAAGAATTAATGACAATGCTGCGTGTTATAAACTTTTGCGTATACAAATACGACTTGCAAGATTTAGATACAGTTATGGATACAGATAGAGATACAGAGACGGGGTAATAAATCAATGATAACAAATTAAAAATGGTAAAGTAAACTAAATGCTAAGTGCTAAAAACTAATTTAGATGTACATATATAAGAAGGCTATAAATTAGATTAATTAACATACGATAATTTCTCTTCAATCTGTCGCTAAAAACTAGATAATAAATAATGCTCAAAAAATCTCCACAAAAAACAAACGCACAAAATAATTAAAGCTTAAATTCGGGGCTCCCCACAGACACAACTCTTCTGAGAGAGGAGGAGCTCCTTAACATTTGACAATTTTTGATTTTAGTTTTGGGGCATTATAAGGTTGTATTTGTATTTGTATTGGTTTTTTGCTTTTTGCTTTGTATTATTTTATTTTATTTAATTAAGGACATCAAGTGATTTTTTTGTTTTTTTGTTTGCTTAGCTTTTCCGTTTGAGCTTAATGGGAAATTTGTGGGGCTAGACTTATAGTTGGATCTAGGTTGGGGGTTGCATAACAATATTTCATATACGATATCTCGAGATGCGGTTAGCACACATATATATATATATATATATATGTGTGTGTGTTTGTGTATATATAAATTTATATTGTATAGTTTATAAGTTGAATGCAAATATATATTTATGTATGCATACTGCGCTTGAGCTAAATGCCTAACCATTCAATACAATATATTATCGTTATTATTATTATTATTATTATTATTATTATTATTCTTATTAGAACCGAAAATCTACTCGGTATCGTATTTGTTTTTCTTTTGCTTTGAAACATTTTGCATTTTTCTAGTTTGTTTGCAGAGAGTTTTGCTCAACTATGTTTTACTATTGAATACTTTTTGCTTTTGCTTTTGCTTTTGTTTGCAATATTTTTAAGTGGGTTTCTTATTTTTTTTTTTTGATTTTCACGGATCTCTATCTTAAAATGTGCTACATACAACATTTTTGCTTCTTTTTTGTTTTTTGTTTTGTAGTTTACTATTCAACTCATAATTATATATATATATATTTATATTTCTCTTAAGACTGTGACGGATCCGCTTGCTGTATATGTGTGTGTGTGTGTGTGTATTTGTGTGTGTGTGTATGAATTTTCTTTTATCCCCGCTAACTTTCTCTTCTTCTATTAATCATAGCCTTTTTTAAATAACCACATAAATTGTTGCCCATCTTTTTGCTTTAGCTTTAAAATGAAATTATTTACACGAGACTTTTTGGATCAATTCGAAATTCACAAAAATCTTAAAAGATTCTTTTCTTTTCTTGACTTTGTTTCAATGCGCGCCAAGCTATGCTTTTAGTTTTAGTTTTAGTTTCAGTTGTAGTTTAATTTTGTTGTCTGCCGCCCATTGAATTGTTCTACAAATCGATGCGCCGATTGCTGCGACTGCTTTAAAAGCTATCATCATCATCATCGTCGTCGTCGTCGTCTTCGTCATCGTCCTGGTAATCATCCTCCTCTTCTTCTTCGTCGCCCACAATTAGCTCCTCTTGCTGGGCATCCTGCTGCATTTCGTAAGCCTCTTCGGCTGCCTCGGCTATCTGCTCGATAACAGCTCGCTCCTCGTAGCCCACATCCTCGTCGTGGATTGGCGGCTGTCATGCCACATCCGCATCTGCCGCATCCTCCGACCAGCTAACCTCCATCGGTGTACCATTCATGCTGCCACCGTTCACCTGCTCGAGCAGCAGTGCCTCCTCAATGGACATCCTTGACGGTTGCTTCTGTCGCTTGGATAGATTGCAGCCAGCAGCTGAAGCTGTGCTGGATGCGGATGAGCTGCGCATATCCTCAGACGAAGCGGAGCAGCTCTCATCCTCAGAGTTGGCGCCGGACACCATTGCCTCGCCAGCAGACTCTTGAATCTCCTGGAATTTCTTCAGCGCCTTGGGATACGCATCCACGCACGACATCAGTTTCATCGTTGAGGTGCGCGAACGCATTTCGACGGCTGCACCAGCCGAGGCGGCATGTTGAGCATGTTGTGGCGAACTGGCTGTCAGCTCTGCCACATGCCACTCGGGCAGGGCGAGATCAGAGCTCTGGCGATGCTTCGACGGCTGAATGATCTCCTTGTTGCAAACGGATTGTGAACGTGCTCGGCACAGCGGTCGCAGCGTATCCTGCTCCTGCTGATTGTTGCTGCTATTGCTGCGCATCAGCGCCGTTGCCGACATGCTCTGCGAGAGCGGATTGGGTCCATGATGACCATTGCCGTGTCCATTGCTGCTGCTGCTGCTGCCGCAGCCGCTGCTCGCCGCATTGGCGCTTAGCGAGAGCAACTGCAGCTGACGGCGTTGGGTGGGGCTGCGTTCGCTGTTGCTGCGCAGCGAACCGGCTCGCCGCACCAGCTTGGAGGCGGCCACTTGGGGTGTCTCATCGTCCATTTCGAGCACCCAGCTAACGGAATCGTTGCGCTCGATGACGCCCTTAATCACCGGCGACGTTGGCGGCGATGTATTGTTCAACAGGCTCGAATTGCTGCGACTGTACGAGTGATTCTGGGACAGATCGTGCAGCTGGGCTTGCACCAGTTGCAGCTGCTCGGATCGCTGCTTGAGGTGATACTGCAACTCCTCCTTGTCGCAGGTGAGGCGCTTGCGTTTGATGTTCTCGTGATTGAACGCCTTCTGAATGTCATCCATTTGTCGCTGCAGATCCCTGCTCAAAGAGAAAGCCAAACAGTTGGTTAGGATTATATATATATATATATATATATATTTATTCAAGACTTACTTCTCCTTCTCCGTTTTGGCCTCCAGCTCGGTGCGCAGCATCTCGTTCTGTGCCACAAGCAGTGTGACGCGACTGCTCAGGCCACGCTGCTCATCGTTCTCGCGCTGCAGCTCCGCATTCTGTTTGCTCAGCGTGGAGATCTCGGCCTGCTTCAGTTCGAGCACGCAACGCAGACTTTCTGCCTCGCTTGTGAGGCGACACATTTCCGCATTGGTGTCTGCTGCCGCTGCTGCTGCTGCTGCTCCTACTCCAGCTGCTGCAGCTGTAGTTGATGTTCCTGTCTGGCTGTTGCTGCTGCTGCTGCCGTTGCTGTTGCTGTTCGCACTGCGACGCTGCGTCGAGCTGCGCAGGACACTGATCTCGTCCTGTGAGAGCGCCAGGCGATCGCGTAGATCACGTTCATTGTGCTCGTTGCTGGCGCGCAGCGATTGCAGCTCCTTGGTCAGCGATTTGATGCGCTCCTGCTGCTCATCCTCGCGCTGAGTGGCCGCCTCCAGCCGTGTGGCATGTTTGTTCTCCGCCTGGGTGAGCTGCTCGTGCAGCTGCTGCTGCTGCAGCTCGTGCTCCTGCAGACGGGACTGCAACTGCGCCACCTGCTGCTCGGCAACGCTCAGCTGATCCTGCTTGTGGCGCAGCTGGTGGGCGACCTCCTGGTGATAGGATTGCAGCGCCTGCTTCTTCTCCTCATCCTTGGCCAGCAGCTGCGACTCGAAGTCCTGGAAACGTTCCTTGGCTATCATTTGCATCTCCTGCACTTTGTCTTGTGCTGCACAAGCGAAACGAAAGCGATTTCAGTTAGCAATTTTGATATTTTGATTGATTTTGATTTGATTTTCTTCTTACCTTGCTGCAGTTCGCTGCGCTGTTGGTGGTCCCGCTCCTGCTGGCGTTGCGTCCACTCCATATCCTTTTTGTGCAGCTGCTGTTGCAACTCCTCGCAGCTGTGTTGCGTCTGCTGCAGCAGCGCCATTGTCTCCTCCAGCTTATCCTTCGCCTTGCCCTCCTCACAGCTCAACATGTCCATCTGCAAACAGATCCAAGCACAAATTAAATACACTTTTCAAGTCTCAAGGATATCGCTACCTGTCCTTTCCCTACTACTTATTATTATTTGCTATTTGTTTTTCAAGTGTTTCGCTGTCCTCGCGGGAAATTTAGGACTTCATCCGAATGGTTTAACGATGGGAAATTTTCAGCGATCATAAAACGGAGAAAAATGCTATTTATGGTCGGCCAGGGGAAAAGCGAGTGGAAAAGGTTGCTTCTCTTTCCACAAATATTTGTTTAAACACACATTTTAATTGCAATTTAATGAATGTTTGGAATATTTGGGGTATTCCTGCTGCTTCGATTTTTATGGAGGTTTTAGAAAGGTAAAAAAATTTCAGACTGAATAATTTCAATGAAGAAAATTATTGCTCTAAAAATAATTGTTATTTTTATTAAAGGCGAATCAATCTGCACTTGAGGCATTTACTTTATTAATAATATTTGTTTTTATATTGGCAAGCAAATGGCATCTTTGCCATAAAACAGAGAATCAGTTTACAATAACTTTTTTTTAGGAATTCTCTTTAATTCATCGAAAACAATTATTGCCTAATTGCATTCTTTGAAAATACCCAGCCACAATTAAATGTAGATCTTCCTTTACCTGTTGCTGTTCGCAATAAATATTATCCATGGCATAACTGTAACTGTTATTATTATTATTATTACTATTGTTGTTGGCTGTGCTGGACAATGTCCAGCTGATCAAATCAAAGTCCATCGTCTCGGCGGACAATGATTCGTTGGTGAACACAAAATTGTCAAACATTCTCGGACCGTGTTGAACACGACGAATACTTGCAGTAGACTGAGGAGACACAGGACTCGCCAGCCGCTTTTATAGTCAGCAGGTACGAGGACCTGAAAAGGACCTGGCAGGTCAAAATTGAAGAGCACAATATTCCTACAGGGGATTTAGAAAAAAGGATTTTCTCTCGACTTTCCAGCTCCCTTTTGTTCTACTAAAAATTGTAGTAGAAAAAATCGAAGAAAAAATATTTCATAAAATGGGTGTTGCCCTTGGTGGACCGAGAGGCGTTTTTGGCTGCTCGGTGAACGCCTCATCGCAAATATATGTCAGATCTAAGGATAGTCGATGCACATCATGTGGTTTCGGATCGGATATAACTAAAAATTAGTCACAGTTGCTGGCAGGCAGGCATTCTCTAGTTTTTGGGGCGTCCCTCGATGGGTGTCTGAATAGACTTCAATTTGCTAAACTCCCTCGAAGTTCTCGAAGCGTAGCGAATATTCAGCGCCTCTTCTTGAACTGCCACTCGAAATATGCGATACTCTCTCAGAACATCATTAATAATGCCTAAATGCCAGCAAATTTGATTAGCTCTAGTTCAAAATGTTGAGCCTCAAGTTGAGTCTTTGTATTCTGAAGAGTCTTCGATTAGCTGAGTGAAGTAGAACTTAAACATTGTATTAACTGGGTCAATACGTGGGCAAATAAGTTAAGTGAATATTCTGTCTTAAATAAATTAGATTTCAATCAACAATTTATATTTCAAATATTGTGTGGCAGAGGCACAATTGACCCAAGGGGCCTCACTAAGCAATAATAATTCAATTTCGCCACAAAATTATATTAACATTATTTATATTATTATAAAAATTGGAAGTTTGCTCTACAAAGGAATACTTGAACACTCCAAACAAACTTTATTCTATTATAAATTCTTATTCCACTGAATAAATTTGGAAACTATAAATTTTAGTCACTAATTATGATTATCCAAGGGTTCTATATCCTCTGTCTGAAGAGCCGACTATATAGAAATCCCAGTCAAGTTGCCTTGTCTCGTCTCGTCTATCTTTCTCTCTGTGGCATGCTTCAGCGCACTCAGTTAATAATCGACATCGATTGATGTCAAAGGACAAAGTTAATCCACAAATTAGACATCGTCCGACATCTGATTGATATATACACGCCTATGTCTCCTCTCTTGTCTATAGTCTATAGTATGTCTGTAATTACTGGCGTCTTCCTTCATGACTTTGTCTTCGTCTCAAAGGCTACCTGAGTAATTGGAATATCCTTTGAAATAATCCTTTCTATATGCACAAATCTATATCTGGGGCATCAGCATCATTCGCGCTGTGACATTGACAAATTGTCAGCTGTGTCTGAAATGGCTATAATAAAAATGCGCTCCTTGGCCTTAATATGATCCTTGAGTGTCCTTGCTGGAGTGTGCCTGTATGTGTGTGCGTGTGTGTGTTGCTGCGTGTGTGTGTGTTTTCCTGGTTTTCACACCGTATCGCGAAATCTCACTGGATCATCATAGTTAAATAAATATTTATGTTGCAACACACAGCGAGCAGCGCAGCCGTTTGGGCTTTTAGTGGGAAACAACAATTCTTAAGTTGAGCGCAATCGAGAAATTCCATTGAAAAATTCCCAACTAGTGCCACAAGCAGCAACCGCATGCAACAAGTTAGCCAAACATTTGTGCGGCAAATATTGTGTAATCAATGGGATTAAAATGAGACAGCAAAAGAAAGTGAAAAGGGTTTTTTTCTGCTACTATTTTGTTAAAAATTTCCAGAGGCTTAAGAACAATAAACAATTCATTTGCAGGATAAAAAGTGCAACTTAAAAAAAAAACACTTTTTTTAAATAACACAAATGATTTTAGAAGTTTGAGTTACTCTAAACTATTCAATTTGCTATAATTAAAGTGTAATTCAACTTGTTCAATTGAAATCAATATGAAACAAATCACTAAAAATACTTTTTTACGCTTTAAAATATTTGAGAATTATTTTAACGATTTTTTCAGTATTTTATCAGCATAAATCCTCTTCCATTTTTTGTTCTGTATTATTTCATATGAAAGAAAATGTCGAGTGAAATTTGGAATGCTTCGAAACTGAAAATTCCCCGCAAATGGATTTGGTTTTTAGTTATGCTCAAAACTACTTTGCTGACATATTTTAAGCTGCACATTGTCCTTGGTATATCCTGCTCAAGGATTTGCGCAATTGTGCATAAGATAAGCACTTTACCAACTTCAACTTCTATTTGCTGTTTCTTTACAAAGTATTCTACCTGCTGCAAATATTAAATATATATTGAGAAAAATATAGATAAATGTTTGCGGTTGAGAAGTCAGCAGACAAACAACATCATAAATCGATTTGGAAGGAGTTGCGAACCCAAAAACATGCAAATGTCAAAATAATTCATATTTTTATGATCTTATTATTGCTATTTAATGGCATTCACAGGTAGACAACAAGTGCAAGGAGCTAACCAATTCTTCAGTATGGAATATTCAAGTATTGTTCTATGTGGAATATAGATTGAAATCAGGAGAAAGCAATTACAGAATTCCACAAAGATGGAATAGTTCTGCTAATATCTGTGCTGCATTCCCAGTTCCAATAAATAATAGTAATATTTCTAATATATCCTTTGCATTATTTAGTTTATCTTTAAAAGAAAGTGTGTGAAAGTAATAAAAGAAGTGCATACAAAATGTGTACTTCTTTCATGAACATGTCGTTTTATCGTACTCTGTAAATCGATGCAAAATAAGTACTTCTTTCATTAGCCAGCGAATGGAAGAGTTCGCATTGAAGGCAGACTACTTTAAGCCTTTACTGGAGCAATTCAAAGGATGCATTTTCCAGTTAAAGCACAATTGATATGAACTGAAATTTGGTCGCCTTTTCGTCTTTTATAGAGCACAGAGAGCTGTTAAATCTGACACGTGTGGCAAGGTGGCAAGGCTACCCAAATGATTCATAGACAAATCCCGTCGACTATTCAAAAACTGATGACAATTAATTGAATGCAGCTGAGAGCTGGGAGAGCTGAGAGAGCCGACACCCTTTCACAGAAATGAGTAAAAACAAAGGGTCGAAGTAGGCATAGGGTTAGGGGTAAGTAGGGATTGGAATACATATATATATATATGAATAGAAAGAGCGAGAGAGAGAGATAGCAAGTGGAAACCGGCCAGCAAATTAATTAGTGCAAACACAAAAAGTGGCCTCGGCTCAAATAGCGAAACCGGATCCGGATTAAGGCACAACTGCAACAATTAAACAAAATTAGCTCAAATTTAAGCGCAGCTTAAGCCAAATTTCCAAAACTCTAACGGCCAGACGACCTCTCTTGGCCATGCCACAGTTTCTGGCCCTTTATTAGAGCAGGCTCCGAAAGACAATGGAAATCAGCAGCGCATAAAACTCGGCACAAAGTTTTAACAAAATGCCTGACAGACTGAAACCTCGGGCCAAATGTGAAACCCTTGCTGTGCCTGGCGCCAGTTAAATCCCTAACTCTCTCTCTGTCTCCCTCTCTCTCTCGCTCTCCCTCTCTCTCGCTCTCTCTCTTTCTAACTCTTAAATTGTTCTTTGTTGCATTGCAAGTGCTGCTCACCTGCTTGGACATAAACTGCACCACAATGGCGAGTCCTGTCGTCTGGCGTTGTCCTTCCTCCAGCCACTGGCTGTTGGCCTCCAGGCATTTGGCCAAGCGTTCATAGTTCAGATAACCGTTATCCATGTAACGCTTCAGGGCGGGATTGAGGGCAACAATGTCCTCCTCCACTGCACGGTGCTTTGATTGTGCTGTGCTGGGCTGAGTACCATTTTGGTCCTGTTGATTTATAGATTTACAGGCATAAATTAAATTATACAGAAATAACTAAGGAAATTAGTAACTTTTGACTTTGTTTGGAATACTGCGTAATATTAATTGAATCTACTTATGAATTGAGGTGGGTTAGTTTAGTTTGGGGCGCCTGTCAGCAGGGGAATAACATGAATCATTCCCCGATCGACTCAGTTGAGCCGTGATTTGCTATATTTCCTACAGAATATGAATTTTTTTATATGGTCTCTCAATTACAAGTTTCATCAGCATAAAATAGAATCTGTACAAAAAGAATTTCTGATATTTAATAGCTCAACTACTCAGTAGATTTTTACTAATAAGTCTTCCCTTCCCATGATTATTTCAAATTAATCAGCAAAGTTGGTTGTACAGTTCCGATTAGGAATACAAATAATTATTTTTAGCACTTTCCCAAAGTTGTTGCTTCAGTTATATATATATATATATATAGAGATACTTGCCTCATTTGTACTGGAAATTGTTTTTGTTGCATTGAGTAAATTCGACTCCGCGTTAAGCTGTTGGGGAAGATTTGGCTCCTGTTGCTGCTGCTGGCAGCAATTTGGCTCTATGGAATTGAGGGGCTGCTGCTGTTCGGGTGTGTGGCTGCCACAGCGTTGCACCTTGGGCGCCTTCTCTGCGGCACAGTTGCAACTGTTGTTGTCGGCGCCACAAATGCAGGGCAGCTCATTATTGCCGAGCGAGGCACGCTTCGAGTCCCGCGGCGTTTGTGCGGCACTCGCCACCGGCGACAAAATCAGACCCAATCCAAAATCCTGCAATTCCGTTTGATCCACGCCCGAACGCAGCGATTCTGCAAGAAGAATTCAATCAAATTATTAACTGGGGTGTTGTTTATATTGTTGATATCAAAATTGTGTTTATCGAACGAGCCAAGTGAGTGAAAGTTGACAAACAGTTGATGATGCTCATGATGAATGATGACTCAGTTCAACTCATCTCAGCCGAGTTCAGTTTCATTCGCAGCGAGATGAGTAATTGCCGCCAACAAAGTAAAGAAAATAATAGAAACCACAAGAAATGGCAGGGGATCAAAGCGGAGGCAATTGACAACAAAAAATGAAGAAGAAATAAAAACTAGACAAGAAATGGAAAGGGAAAGCAAAAGTATAAAAGTAGTGTGTATTTATGTCTTCATCAATTACGGGTGTAAGTGCCTGCCTGCCACGCCCACAGTGCCACCAGCAGCAGCAGCAGGTCAAAGGCCTGTTGGCAAAACAAGCAACAAGCCTCATCAATAACTCAAAAAACAACACAGCTCTCAAATGGGGAGACAACAGCTGTCAGCTAGCGAAGGGGTAGATAACTCTCTCTCTCTTTCTCTCTCTCACACTCTCTCTCTCTCTCTCTCTTTCTCTTTCTCTCCCTCTCCCTCTCTCTTTGAACGATCCTCCATCCAACTGCCATATCGAATGCCTAGCCATAATTCAGACAATTTCCTTACGAGCACGCGCCATAATCAATGGCTTTTGGCCATATTACCGCATTCAATTTATGGCTAAGTGCCGTACAAAATTGTCAACGCCAACCAGTACAACCTGTACCGGTCAACCACCACATAACTGCACTAGCTGCACTCGCTGCACACAATTTTTGTTTGATTATTTATCTTGTTGATAGGAAAAGTAATAATAACACTCGTAAATCAATTTCCTCGACAATTTTGCTAAATTGATTTATGAAAATGGGTTTTTGCTTAATTTGAAAATGGTTTTTCTTTTGTCGTGTTGCATGTGGCATGTTGCAGCTAAACAATATTAAATTCGCAATGCCATTTTATGCAGAATTTTAAAAACAGTTTCCCCATTTTGCAATTTTACTAAATTGTATTTAAATTAAAGAAATATTTTGAATACAGAAATTTGTCCATTTTGGCTCAGATTTGCTTGGCCATTTATGAATGGCAACTTTCTTGTTTTACACCTGCCAAAAGCAAGTCAAAGTTGCGTTCATTGCCAGATTGCCAGATTATTTGGACCTGGTCATAAATTAGCTGGCAGTGCTGGAAAAAAATAGACGTGCGACATTAAAGCAATTACTCAAATCGGTTGTCAACGGAGGCGCTGACAGTGGGCCAATTAAATAAAACTGGCAGTGGACAACGACTTTGGCCAACGGACAACTGAATAAGCAAGATAAACTCTTGATCAGTGCGCACTTTAAAAGGTGATTTGATAACTGTCTGTAAAAGCCTGAAAAACTTTACAAGCTGACTTTGTTTGCTTAATTTAATATGCAGAAAAAATGTTGGGATAGTTTCCAGATAGTTTTATAAATATTATAACTATTTATATATAAAGCAAACCTTCCTCAATTTGATATTTTTATTTGTGTTATTTTATTTTCGTAAATTTCATAAATAAAAACAATTTTTGTTTTGCTGAATGAAATATACACAATTAATTAAATAAACCAAAGTATTTTTTTATTATTTTATTTTAGTTATTTTAACATTTTTCCAACAGTTTCCAGCAATTAAAAAACATATTTCCGGCATTCCCCGCCCAGTCAAATGCCCCTTCAGCTTTCAGCTTTCCCAAATAATTTAGTCGAGAGCAATTAGCAATTATCAATTAAGATGAGAAGAGAAAATAGGAGGGGGCAACCTTGTGCCGAGACATTGAACAAATGGCACACCTGATGTGAAAGTCTCTAATTGAGAATTGCTCAAGTCGCGCGTCTTAAATTTCAATGCCACACGCCTCGTGGCACACACACTGAGGGAATTGTTCTACGAGTCTGTGGCACACGACGGACTCGAACTCATTTTGGTATTGCAAAATTCTGCAATGGCAATTAGGCAATTAAATGGCATTGGTTACACGACGATTGTTGAAGGTCAACTCATCAAACTTGGACTCTTCTCTGTCTCAGCCTGTGCAACAAGAATTTCCCAACATTTTGCGTTCTCACGCATCGCGCTGCGACTGCGACTGCGCTGCTTGCAACAAGTTGCTGACAGGATCGCAATGGGTGGCAGAATGCCTGCTGCGACAATTGTGCATTTCAACATTTGATGTTTATGGCCAAGTTAACCGACCACCTCAGTAGCTATTCAGTTATTCGCCTGAATATGGCAATAGTTTTTCTCAGCTTGTTCTGCATTTTCCATTCCATTCAGGACCAGCTTTTACGACTGGCCAAAAGGAAAAACCCAGCAGCACTGCCCATTTTCATTCAGAAGGTTGACTGAAGGAAAAGTGCAAAGATGCTACAAGAAATGCCCAAATGGATTTTCCCACGATTTTTGGTTGAACGAGAAATTAGTCAAAGTGTTTTATATATAATAATAATATAATTATATATTATTATATATATATATAATATAATATAATAATATATATAATATAAATAAATATTTTAGATTTAAAGTTACTGGAATGCATTGAGATTTTTATGAGACCTGAAAATGATGTTAGTAAATTGTTTATAATATTTAGTATTTAAATTTGAGCTAGTTTTAGATGCCTAGAAATGTTGTTTATAAGAAATGTGCCAGACACATTTTCAAGTTAAAGTTGCAGCTGAGAAAAGGTTGCTTTAATAATCGTCTACTTTATATTTATTTATGATTTTCTAATCCCTCTCTAATCTTTAATTAGTTATAAATTCAATAAAAGTTTGAGCAACTTCACTTAAGATTGTTTTTCAAGGGTAAAAATAAATAAATACTGTTACTCAAATGATAATTGGGTTTCTTTAAATATCCCTTAACTTTTAGAGCCAAACTTGCAGTGTTTAATTGAAATAAGAATCCCTGCAACACTTGAATTAAATTAGTTAAACGGAGACTTTCATGACTGCCCGTACTTCCCCACATCCCATACAACATATTAAACTACATTTTAGTTGCAAGATTTTCCAATGTTTTTCCATTCATAAAATGCATTCAATTGTTGCTTTGCCGAACTCATAATGACGGTTTTCGGTTTTTCGTCTCGGCTTTTGGGTTTTCAGCTAAAAATCAACATGTTTCAAACAACGCCTGCTGTCAACGGCAAGTCACACTGTGCGGCACCGTGGGACGCGTTGCTTAAATGCTGACCAACACACACACACCCAACACACACCCCACAAGGCACATGAAAAATAGTTGAAATTCCAAAATAACTTATTTGGCATTAGGCAGGGGCAGGGGCAAGCAGGCAGGCAGCTATTCTGTATTCGTTTGAGTGACTGAACTGAACTTCACTTGATGTATTCACACACGCACTCACACACACACACACACACACACACACACACATTCACACACATTCACACACACACACACATTTGTGGTTTTGGCCACATTTGGAAAATGCAACCTGTCTTGGCCCATGGCGACTCACAAAAATGTTAACGAAAACAAAACAAGTCCATTGCAAAAATGCCCGTAATTAAAAGTAAACACAAAAAAAACTGCAAAATTTTGAAAAAGTGGCAAAATGGCAAACTGGCAAACTGGCATTTCCAATTAGCTGCGTTCACCAAAAAACAACAACAAAAATAAATAAAAATCTCACTTGAAAATTTCAAATGTGGCTCTTGGCGGAGAAATGTCTGTTTAGTTTTCCCGGGGAGCCTTTAAAAGGGAGGGGGCATAGTTTGTTGCCCTGTCTAGTTAGTCAGTTTAGACAGTTTTATTTGCAGTTTTAATTACAATTTAACTGACAAGTATTTAGTAGTAACTACAAGCAAGAGAAGGGGTATGATGAGGGGGGGTTGTTGAGGTGCAGAATGGTACAATTAAAGTGTCATTCATTTTGACTACTCACAGCATTTAGCAGGGGCGTGTCAGCGACAACATAAATAAAGCTCAAGTGAAATTAATGCAAATTGCTGGTGGCAAAAAAAAAATGTGCAAAATCTTTAATAATATAATGAACACATCTAAAATGTATATATATATAAATATATATTTTCACATTTAAATTGGTCAGTGGGGAGAAAAGATTCCATTAAATCAAGCTGACATCATAAGCCTTTTCATATCATGTTTATTTAAGACATTTTCTTGCTTATCATTTGTGTATTTTAATTGGGATTTCCATTTAGATGTGACCATATTAAATATAAACTACCAATGTGAGTCCGGCTGCTGCATAGCAGTCAGCTTTGTGTCAATCACTAATCAAGTGAAAACCAAAATTACTCAACACTAGTTTGGTGTGGGTCCTGAAAAGATACTTTTAAAAGTCTAATAGGGAATTTAACATACTTTTTCTGATTTAAGCTAAACTTTCGAGAAAAAATTATAACAAATTTGATTCAGACATAAAAATCGGTTTGATTTTAACAAAGTTATTGCAGACAGAATTATTGGAAAATCATTTTTTGCTTATGGTAAAAACTACAATTAATCAAGACTAGGTTTTTGCGTGTGTCCTAATAAGTCTATAAAGAATTCTATATACAAATCAGCTAAAATCATTATCCCAATTTAGCATAGAATAAAACTCATCAACTTGATTAATTTGAAATTTAAATTCAGTTTGGTTTAAACAAAGACAGAATTTTTGGTAAGCGATTTTTGGTAAAGTGGCCAAGTGTAAGATAAAGAACAGATGCACAATTCAAACAGATACAGGTACATATATGTTTATAGCATTATAAAAACTTGCAATATCAATCACTAAACGTTTACAAATTTCCAAGAACTCGTCTGCAACAAAGGCAACAATTATCCAAAAGAACACGTTTACAAAGAAAAGAAAGCAAAAGCTGAGTTGCAAACAAAGAAAACTTTTGGCGGCAAAGAAAATAAATTAATTATTGACATAAAATTGTAAACTTTGGTTTTTTAAAATAAAA